ACATTTAGGCTAGCCTGCCTACCATCCTGGGTTTAACCAGACTGGATTGTGTCAGGAGCTCACAAATCCTTGAAAGATCTGGGCAAGGTCCCATCGGTGAGCTCCCCCGGCGGGCAAGGCTGCGATGGCTGGGTCATGTAGCCCGCATGCCCAGCCACCGCATGCCGAAACAGCTTTTGTTCGGCCGGATCGAGGGGGTTAAACGGGCGCGGCACGGGCTAGAGAAGAGATGGAGTGATGTGGTACAGGAGGACGTGGAGCTGAGTGGACTTGCCGATGACTGGTACCAGCGGTGTCAAGATCAGCCTCTGTGGAGGTGGCTCGTGAAGGACGCTACTTGGCAGTTGGAGGTAGTCGCCCTCCAACAACAACGAAGGGCGGAGAAGCGACGCTCACAACAACGAGCGGAGCGCCGGGTGGCTAGGGCACAACAGGTTGGCACAGTAGGGGGCACAGGTGGTGCATCAGCCAGTCATCTCAGTCATCTCAGTCAGTCGACCCGTGGCACCTGGGTCTGCCCCGTGACCTCCTGCCAGCGGGCGTTCGACACTTCACGTGGCCTCAAGGTGCACATGGCCTGGCACAAGCGTCGTTGTGACGTCACCACCACTTAGTGGCGAATGGCGGTTGTTGTAGTGTGTGTGTAGTGGTGTCTGTAGTGTGTGTGGATGTGTGTGTAGTGTGGTGTGTCTGTGTAGTGTGTGTGTGTCTAGTGTCTGTGTAGTGTCGGTGTCTGTAGTGTGTGTGTAGTGGGTGTGTGTAGTGTGGGTGTCTGTAGTGTGTGTGGTGTGTGTGTGTGTGTAGTGTGTTGGTTGTCTGTGTAGTGTGTGTGTGTGTCTGTAGTGTCTGTGTAGTGTCTGTGTCTGTAGAGTGTGTGTTTAGTGTGTGTGTGTAGGGTTGGTGTCTGTGCAGATGTGTGTAGTGTGTGTGTAGTGTGGGTGTCTATAGTGTGTGTGTGTAGTGTGGATGTCTGTGGTGTGTGTAGTGTGGGTGTCTGTAGTGTGTGTGTTGTGTGGGTGTCTGTAGTATGTAGTGTGGGTGTCTGTGGTGTGTGTAGTGTGGGTTTCTATAGTGTGTGTGTAGTGTGTGTGTCTGTGCAGTGTGTGTAGTGTGGGTGTCTGTAGTGTGTAGTGTGGGTGTCTGTAGTGTGTGTGTGTAGTGTGGGTGTCTGTAGTGTGTGTGTGTAGTGTGGGTGTCTGTAGTGTGTGTGTGTAGTGTGGGTGTCTGTAGTGTGTGTGTGTTGTGTGTGTCTGTAGTGTGTGTGTGTTGTGTGTGTCTGTAGTGTGTGTGTAGTGTGGGTGTCTGTAGTGTGTGTGTAGTGTGGGTGTCTATAGTGTGTGTGTGTTGTGTGGGTGTCTGTAGTATGTAGTGTGGGTGTCTGTGGTGTGTGTAGTGTGGGTTTCTATAGTGTGTGTGTAGTGTGTGTGTCTGTGCAGTGTGTGTAGTGTGGGTGTCTGTAGTGTGTAGTGTGGGTGTCTGTAGTGTGTGTGTGTAGTGTGGGTGTCTGTAGTGTGTGTGTGTAGTGTGGGTGTCTGTAGTGTGTGTGTGTAGTGTGGGTGTCTGTAGTGTGTGTGTGTTGTGTGTGTCTGTAGTGTGTGTGTGTTGTGTGTGTCTGTAGTGTGTGTGTAGTGTGGGTGTCTGTAGTGTGTGTGTAGTGTGGGTGTCTATAGTGTGTGTGTAGTGTGGGTGTCTGTCGTGTGTGTGTAGTGTGGGTGTCTGTAGTGTCTGTGTAGTGTGGGTGTCTGTAGTGTGTGTGTGTATTGTGGGTGTCTGTAGTGTGTGTGTGTAGTGTGGGTGTCTGTATTGTGTGTAGTGTGGGTGTCTATAGTGTGTGTAGTGTGGGTGTCTGTAGTGTGTGTGTGTGTAGTGTGGGTGTGTGTAATGTGTGTCTGTAGTGTGTGTGTTGTGTGTGTCTGTAGTGTGTGTGTTGTGTGTGTGTGTTGTGTGTGTCTGTAGTGTGTGTGTTGTGTGTGTCTGTAGTGTGTGTGTTGTGTGTGTTGTGTGTGTGTTGTGTGTCTGTAGTGTGTGTGTTGTGTGTGTCTGTAGTGTGTCTGTAGTGTGTGTGTAGTGTGTGTCTGCAGTGTGTGTGTAGTGTGGGTGTCTGTGCAGTGTGTGTGTAGTGTGGGTGTCTGTGGTGTGTGTGTAGTGTGGGTGTCTGTAGTGTGTGTGTGTAGTGTGTGTAGTGTGTGTGTAGTGTGTGTCTGTAGTGTGTTGTGTGGATGTGTGTAGTGTGTGTTGTGTGTAGTGTGTTGTGTGTGTGTTGTGTGTGTGTAGTGTGTGTAGTGTGTGTTGTGTGTGTGTCTGTAGTGTGTGTGTTGTGTGTGTAGTTTGTGTGTTGTGTGTGTGTTGTGTGTGTGTTGTGTGTGTCTGTAGTGTGTGTGTTGTGTGTGTTGTGTGTGTGTTGTGTGTGTGTTGTGTGTGTCTGTAGTGTGTGCGTTGTGTGTGTGTTGTGTGTGTGTTGTGTGTGTGTTGCGTGTGTGTTGCGTGTGTGTTGTGTGTGTTGTGTGTGTGTTGTTTGTGTTGTGTGTGTGTCTGTAGTGTGTGTGTTGTGTGTGTAGTTTGTGTGTTGTGTGTGTGTTGTGTGTGTGTTGTGTGTGTCTGTAGTGTGTGTGTTGTGTGTGTTGTGTGTGTGTTGTGTGTGTGTTGTGTGTGTCTGTAGTGTGTGCGTTGTGTGTGTGTTGTGTGTGTGTTGTGTGTGTGTTGCGTGTGTGTTGCGTGTGTGTTGTGTGTGTTGTGTGTGTGTTGTTTGTGTTGTGTGTGTCTGTAGTGTGTGTGTTGTGTGTGTTGTGTGTGTGTTGTGTGTGTGTGTAGTGTGTGTGTTGTGTGTGTGTTGTGTGTGTGTGTAGTGTGTTGTGTGTGTGTAGTGTGTGTGTTGTGTGTGTGTTGTGTGTGTGTGTAGTGTGTGTTGTGTGTGTGTGTAGTGTGTCTGTAGTGTGTGTGTTGTGTGGGTGTTGTGTGTTGTGTGTGTAGTGTGTGTGTGTAGTGTGTGTAGTGTGTGTGTAGTGTGTGTGTTGTGTGTGTGTTGTGTGTGTGTGTGTAGTGTGTTGTGTGTGTGTAGTGTGTGTAGTGTGTGTGTTGTGTGTGGTGTGTGTGTGTTGTGTGTGTGTTGTGTGTGTGTTGTGTGTGTGTGTGTGCAGTGTGTTGTGTGTGTGTTGTGTGTGTGTGTTGTGTGTGTAGTGTGTGTGTTGTGTGTGTGTTGTGTGTGTGTAGTGTGTGTGTTGTGTGTGTAGTGTGTGTGTAGTGTGTGTTGTGTGTGTGTCTGTAGTGTGTGTGTGTTGTGTGTGTAGTTTGTGTGTTGTGTGTGTATTGTGTGTGTGTGTTGTGTGTGTCTGTAGTGTGTGTTGTGTGTGTGTTGTGTGTGTGTTGTGTGTGTGTTGTGTGTGTGTTGTGTGTGTGTTGTGTGTGTGTTGCGTGTGTGTTGCGTGTGTGTTGCGTGTGTGTTGTGTGTGTTGTGTGTGTGTTGTTTGTGTTGTGTGTGTCTGTAGTGTGTGTTGTGTGTGTGTTGTGTGTGTGTGTAGTGTGTGTGTTGTGTGTGTGTTGTGTGTGTGTGTGCAGTGTGTTGTGTGTGTGTGTGTTGTGTGTGTGTGTTGTGTGTGTTGTGTGTGTGTGTAGTGTGTCTGTAGTGTGTGTGTTGTGTGGGTGTTGTGTGTTGTGTGTGTAGTGTGTGTGTGTAGTGTGTGTAGTGTGTGTGTAGTGTGTGTGTTGTGTGTGTGTTGTGTGTGTGTGTAGTGTGTTGTGTGTGTGTAGTGTGTGTGTTGTGTGTGTGTAGTGTGTGTGTAGTGTGTGTGTTGTGTGTGTGTTGTGTGTGTGTTGTGTGTGTGTGTGTGCAGTTTGTTGTGTGTGTGTTGTGTGTGTGTAGTGTGTGTGTTGTGTGTGTGTGTGTTGTGTGTAGTGTGTGTGTTGTGTGTGTTGTGTGTGTGTTGTGTGTGTGTAGTGCGTGTGTTGTGTGTGTGTTGTGTGTTGCAGGGGAGCGGTAGTGCAACGTTTAGCGCCCTGCGGCTATGAAAACCACTGAGACCCGGGTTCAGTTCCCGCTCACGGCCACCACAACACCAGTGACGATTATCTGAACCGGTCCTGGGCTTCCCCTAGGTCGACTCAGCCTCAAATGAGTACCTGGTGCGTTGTGTAAACATCGCCACTGGGGAGACAAAGGCGACCGGGCGTGGTGCTGGCCACCCACCCCCTCGTGTGCCGTGCCGGCCTTCACAGGGTGCTGCTCGCTAGCAGCACTTGCCCCTACAGTCTGTTACAGGCCACATGAGGGATCTTTGTATTTGTTTGTTGTTGTCTGTGGCCTGAAAAGGAAGACAATAGATAATGGGTGACGCTTCGGGCAATAGCCCTTCTTCATAGCCGCCTATCGTGTGAAGGTGACGTGTGAAGGTGACGTGTGAAGGTGACGTGTGAATGTGACGTGTGAAGGTGACGTGTGAAGGTGACGTGTGAAGGTGACGTGTGAAGGTGACGTGTGAAGGTGACGTGTGAAGGTGACGTGTGAAGGTGAAGGTGACGTGTGAAGGTGACGTGTCATTTTCTTGACGGGCACGGTAAGTCGTTTAGTGTCACGTCTCGCTACTTACCCGCTCATGCGTGACCTCACCTGCTCATTCATTCATCACTCACCTATTCGCTCGTTCACTCACACACTCGCTCACGCACTCACCCACCTACACACCCACCTACACGCTCATTCACTCATCTGCACGTCCACTCACCTACTCATCCGTTCACTCACCCACCTACACGCTCACCCACCCACCTACATGATCACTCACCTATTCGCACACTCACCCACCTACATAGAGACACACTCACCCACCTCACCCACACACTCACCCACCCACACACTCACCCACCCCACCTACACACTCGCCCACCATCTCACGAGTAATCGCCACAGTTCGTAGTCGCCGCGGAGTCAATGTTGTTGGGCTCATGCTGAACGGCCGTCACTGTGCCACGTCGTTGTCGTTGTTGTTGTTTGTCGACCCGCCCAGAACTCTGACTTCACGAACAACGCCGGCTACACCGCCATGCTCGAGAGACTCAGGGATGGGCGCAAAGTGTGCAAGGGCTTCGAGGAGATGCTCAAGCAGAGGTAGAGAGACCTCCTCCTCCTTCGACTCCTCCTCCTCTGCCTCCTCATCCTCCTCCACCTCCTCTGCCTCCTCCTCCTCTGCCTCCTCCTCCTCCTCCGCCTCCTCCTCCTCTGCCTCCTCCACCTCCTCATCCTCCTCCGCCTCCTCCTCCTCTGCCTCCTCCGCCTCCTCCTCTGCCTCCTCCACCTCCTCCTCCACCTCCTCCGCCTCCTCCTCCTCTGCCTCCTCCGCTTCCTCCTCCTCCTCTGCCTCCTCCACCTCCTCCTCCACCTCCTCCGCCTCCTCTGCCTCCTCCGCCTCCTCCTCTGCCTCCTCCACCTCCTCCTCTGCCTCCTCCACCTCCTCCACCTCCTCCTCCTCTGCCTCCTCCGCCTCCTCCTCCTCTGCCTCCTCCACCTCCTCTGCCTTCTCCGCCTCCTCCTCCTCTGCCTCCTCCTCTGCCTCCTCCGCCTCCTCCTCTGCCTCCTCCTCTGCCTTCTCCTCCGCCTCCTCCTCCTCTGCCTCCTCTTCCTCTTCTACCGCCTCCACCTCCTCTGCCTCCTCCGCCTCCTCCTCCTCTGCCTCCTCCTCCTTGCCAACTAAGTTCGAGCCTCTCATCAGTCATGTGGCTTCTGCGTGTGTGTGGAGAGCGGTGGTGGAGCGGTTAGCGCTACGCTGGCCAACACCCAGTGACGATTATTCTGAACCGGTCATGGGCCCGCCCTAGGTCGACTCAGCCTCAAAATGAGTACCTGGTGCAGTGTGTAAACATCACCGCTTGGGAGACAAAGGTGGTTGGCCGTGGTGTTGTCCACCCACCCCCTCGTGTACCGTGCCGGCCTTCATAGGTGCTACTCGCTAACAGCACTTGCCCCAACCGTCTGTTGAGGCTACAAGGGGGATCTTTGTCTTTGTGCAGAGCATGCCTGGAGGAGACCTACGGGAAAGGTCTCCTGATGCTTGCCAAGAAGTCCGGAGGTCAAACGGAGATCAAGTGAGTGTCCATCTGTCCACTCGTCTGTCCGCTCGTCTATCTGCTGGTTGAGCTGTCTGAGTGTCCATCTGTCCACTCGTCTATCCACTCGTCTATCTGCTGGTTGAGCTGTCTGAGTGTCCATCTGTCCACTCGTCTGTCCGCTCGTCTATCTGCTGGTTGAGCTGTCTGAGTGTCCATCTGTCCACTCGTCTATCCGCTCGTCTATCTGCTGGTTGAGCTGTCTGTCTGAGTGTCCATCTGTCCACTCGTCTGTCCGCTCGTCTATCTGCTGGTTGAGCTGTCTGTCTGAGTGTCCATCTATCCACTCGTCTATCTGCTGGTAAATCTGTCCACTCGTCTATCTGCTGGTTGAGCTGTCTGCCTGAGTGTCCATCTGTCCACTCGTCTATCTGCTGGTCTATCTGTCCACTCGTCTATCTGCTGGTCCATCTGTCCACTCGTCTATCTGCTAGTTGAGCTGTCTGTCTGAGTGTCCATCTATCCACTCGTCTATCTGCTGGTCCATCTGTCCGCTCGTCTATCTGCTGATTGAGCTGTCTGAGTGTCCATCTGTCCACTCGTCTATCTGCTGGTCCATCTGTCCGCTCGTCTATCTGCTGGTCCATCTGTCCGCTCGTCTATCTGCTCGTGGAGCTGTCTGTCTGAGTGTCCATCTATCCTCTCGTCTATCTGCTGGTCCATCTGTCCACTCGTCTATCTGCTGGTTGAGCTGTCTGAGTGTCCATCTATCCACACGTCTATCTGCTGGTCCATCTGTCCGCTCGTCTATCTGCTGGTCCATCTAGCCCCTCCTCTGTCTGCTGGTCCCACTGTCTGTCTGAGTGTCCATCTATCCACTCGTCTATCTGCTGGTCCATCTGTCCGCTCGTCTTTCTGCTCGTTGCGATGTCTAAGTGTCTATCTATCCCCTCCTCTATCTGCTGGTCCCACTCTCTGTCTGGGTGTCCATCTATCCCCTCCTCTATCTGCTGGTCGCACTGTCTGCCTGAGTGTCCATCTGTCCGCTTGTCTATCTGCTGGTCCTTCTGTCTGTCCGCTGTTAAACGAGCCCACCCCCCTCTGATGGTCGACTCGCATCGTCGTCTCATACCAACGCATTAGAGAAAGGGCACCCCCAGTGGCAGCTGCCCCTGCGTGGCGCGGCTCGCTAGCACGTGGCCCGCGAGCGGGCGCCAGGCTGCCAGTACGGGGGTGGTGAGTGCCACCGCGCGTGTATGTTGCGTGCGTGTGGGCGCCACGGTGGCTAGGAGATGTTGACTACCTCGCCTGGTGTACAGGAGGTCGTGGGTTCGACCCTGACCCTGACGCCTGTTGTGTATTTGGAGTTTGCGGTGTCTCTCTCTCCACGTGGCCACGTGTATTTTTCTCCGGGTCCTCTGGTTTTCCCCTCCACATTTAGAATCGCCATCACGTGTATTCGGCTGCTATACATTTCCACGTGATGATGATGATAAGCCACTTCGTTGAGCTGTCATTTGTGGCCAGGTCGCTTCTGAAAAAGAGTCATACAGCTCAGTGAGCCCTTACCTGGTCAAAAAAAAAATTCACGTAGAACTTCGTTCGCACCGTACGTAGCCAACAGCGCTAATCGGTGGTGCGGGGGAAGGACAGCAAACTGAACACTGCAACAACAAGCAGCTCTGAAGACATGGGTTTTAAACGTTGGGTGGCGTGGTGTGTGTGTGGTGTGTGTGTGTGGTGTGTGTGTGGTGTGTGTGTGTGTGGTGTGTGTGTGGTGTGTGTGTGTATGGTGTGTGTGGTGTGTGTGTGTGTGGTGTGTGTGTGTGGTGTGTGTGTGTGGTGTGTGTGTGGTGTGTGTGTGGTGTGTGTGTGTGTGGTGTGGTGTGTGTGGTGTGTATGTGTGGTGTGTATGTGTGGTGTGTATGTATGTGTAGTGTGTGTGGTGTGTGTGTGGTGTGTGTGTGTGGTGTGTGTGTGTGGTGTGTGTGTGTGGTGTGTGTGTGTGTGGTGTGTGTGGTGTGTGTGTGGTGTGTGTGTGTGGTGTGTGTGTGTGGTGTGTGTGTGTGGTGTGTGTGTGTGGTGTGTGTGTGTGTGGTGTGTGTGTGGTGTGTGTGGTGTGTGTGCGTGTGGTGTGTGTGTGGTGTGTGTGTGGTGTGTGTGTGTGGTTTGTGTGTGTGGTGTGTGTGTGTGTGGTGTGTGTGTGGTGTGTGTGGTGTGTGTGTGGTGTGTGTGTGGTGTGTGTGTGTGGTGTGTGTGTGTGTGGTGTGTGTGGTGTGTGTGTGTGTGGTGTGTGTGTGGTGTGTGTGTAGTGTGTGTGGTGTGTGTGTGGTGTGTGTGTGTATGTGTGGTGTGTGTGTGGTGTGTGTGTGGTGTGTAAGTGTGGTTTGTGTGTGTGGTGTGTGTGTGGTGTGTGCGTGTGTGGTGTGTGTGTGTGGTGTGTGTGTGGTGTGTGTGGCGTGTGTGTGTGTGTGTGATGTGTATGATGTGGTGTGTGTGTGGTGTGTGTGTGTGGTGTGTGTATGTGTGGTGTGTGTGGTGTGTGTGTGGTGTGTGTGTGTGGTGTGTGTGGTGTGTGGGTGGTGTGTGTGTGGCGTGTGTGTGGTGTGTGTGTGGTGTGTGTGTGTGGTGTGTGTAATGTGTGGTGTGTGTGGTGTGTGTGTGTAGTGTGTGTATGTGTGGTGTGTGTGTGGTGTGTGTGTGGTGTGTGTGTGTGGTGTGTGTAATGTGTGGTGTGTGTGGTGTGTGTAATGTGTGGTGTGTGTGGTGTGTGTGTGTGTGGTGTGTGTGTGTGGTGTGTGTGTGTGGCGTGTGTGTGGTGTGTGTGTGTGGTGTGTGTGTGTGGTGTGTGTGATGTGTGTGGTGTGTGTGGTGTGTGTGTGTGTGGCGTGTGTGTGGTGTGTGTGTGATGTGTGTGGTGTGTGTGGTGTGTGTGGTGTGTGTATGTGTGGTGTGTGTGTGGTGTGTGTGTGTGGTGTGTGTGTGGTGTTTATATGTGTGGTGTGTGTGTGGTGTGTGTGTGTGATGTGTGTGGTGTGTCTGTGGTGTGTGTGTATGTGTGGTGTGTGTGTGTGGTGTGTGTGGTGTGTGTGTGGTGTGTGTGTGTGGTGTGTGTAATGTGTGGTGTGTGTGTGGTGTGTGTGGTGTGTGTGTGTGGTGTGTGTGTGGTGTGTGTGTGGTGTGTGTGGCGTGTGTGTGTGTGTGTGATGTGTATGATGTGGTGTGTGTGTGGTGTGTGTGTGTGGTGTGTGTATGTGTGGTGTGTGTGTGGTGTGTGTGTGTGGTGTGTGTGGTGTGTGTGGTGTGTGGGTGGTGTGTGTGTGGCGTGTGTGTGGTGTGTGTGTGGTGTGTGTGTGTGGTGTGTGTAATGTGTGGTGTGTGTGGTGTGTGTGTGTAGTGTGTGTATGTGTGGTGTGTGTGTGGTGTGTGTGTGGTGTGTGTGTGTGGTGTGTGTAATGTGTGGTGTGTGTGGTGTGTGTAATGTGTGGTGTGTGTGGTGTGTGTGTGTGTGGTGTGTGTGTGTGGTGTGTGTGTGTGGCGTGTGTGTGGTGTGTGTGTGTGGTGTGTGTGTGTGGTGTGTGTGATGTGTGTGGTGTGTGTGGTGTGTGTGTGTGTGGCGTGTGTGTGGTGTGTGTGTGTGGTGTGTGTGTGATGTGTGTGGTGTGTGCGGTGTGTGTGGTGTGTGTATGTGTGGTGTGTGTGGTGTGTGTGTGTGGTGTGTGTGTGGTGTTTATATGTGTGGTGTGTGTGTGGTGTGTGTGTGTGATGTGTGTGGTGTGTCTGTGGTGTGTGTGTATGTGTGGTGTGTGTGTGTGGTGTGTGTGGTGTGTGTGTGGTGTGTGTGTGTGGTGTGTGTAATGTGTGGTGTGTGTGTGTGGTGTGTGTGTGTGGTGTGTGTGTGGTGTGTGTGTGGTGTGTGTGTGTGGTGTGTGTGTGGCGTGTGTGTGGTGTGTGTGTGTGGTATGTGTGTGGTGTGTGTGGTGTATGTGGTGTGTGTGTGTGGTGTGTGTGTGTGGCGTGTGTGTGGTGTGTGTGTGTGGTGTGTGTGTGATGTGTGTGGGGTGTGTGGTGTGTGTGGTGTGTGTATGTGTGGTGTGTGTGTGTGGTGTGTGTGGTGTTTATATGTGTGGTGTGTGTGTGGTGTGTGTGTGATGTGTGTGGTGTATCTGTGGTGTGTGTGTATGTGTGGTGAGTGTGTGTGGTGTGTGTGGTGTGTGTGATGTGTGTGTGGTGTATGTGGTGTGTGTGTGGTGTGTGTGGTGTGCGTGTATGGTGTGTGTGGTGTGTGTATGGTGTGTGTGTATGTGTGGTGTGTGCGTGTGTGTGGTGTGTGTGTTCGGTGTGTGTGTGTGGTGTGTGGTGTGTGTGGAGTGTATGTGTGGTGTGTGTGTATGTGTGGTGTGTGTGTAGTGTGTGTGTGGGGTGTGTATGTGTGGTGTGTGTGTTATGTGTGTATGGTGTGTGTGTGGTGTGTGTGATGTGTGTGGTGTGTGTGGTGTGTGTATGTGTGGTGTGTGTGGTGTGTATGTGTGGTGTATGTGTGTGTGGTGTATGTGTGGTGTGTGTATGTGTGTGGTGTGTGTGGTGTGTGTGTGGTGTGTGTGTGTATGTGTGGTGTGTGTATGTGTGGTGTGTGTGTGGTGTGTGTGTGTATGTGTGGTGTGTGTGTATGTATGTGTGGGGTGTGGTGTGGTGTGTGTGTTGTGTGTGTGTGGTGTGTGTGTATGTGTGGTGTATGTGCTGTGTATGTATGTGTGGTGTGTGTGTGTGTATGTGTGGTGTGTGTGTATGTATGTGTGTATGTGTGGTGTGTGTATGTGTGTAGTGTGTATGTGTGTAGTGTATGTGTGTGATGTGTGTGTGGTGTATGTATGTGTGTATATGTGTGTGTGGTGTGTGTGATGTGTGTGTGTGTGGTGTATGTATGTGTATGTATGTGTGTGTGTATGTGTGGTGTGTATGTGTGTGTGGTGTATGTATGTATGTGTGTGGTGTATGTGTATGTATGTGTGGTGTGTGTGTGGTGTGTGTATGTGTGGTGTGTATGTGTGTAGTATGTGTGTGTGGTGTATGTGTATGTATGTGTGGTGTGTGTGTGGTGTGTGTATGTGTGGTGTGTATGTGTATGTGTGTGTATGTATGTGTATGTATGTGTGTGTGGTGTATGTGTATGTATGTGTGTATGTGTATGTATGTGTGTAGTGTGTGTATGTGTAGTATGTGTGTAGTGTGTGTGTGGTGTATGTATGTGTGTGGTGTGTGTGGTGTATGTATGTGTAGTATGTATGTGTGTAGTATGTGTGTGTGTAGTATGTGTGTAGTGTGTGTATGTGTGTAGTATGTGTGTGTGTGTAGTATGTGTGTGTATGTGTGTAGTATGTGTGTAGTGTGTGGTGTATGTGTGTGTAGTGTGTGTATGTGTGTAGTATGTGTGTGTGTGTAGTATGTGTGTGTGTAGTATGTGTGTAGTGTGTGGTGTATGTGTGTGTAGTGTGTATGTGTAGTATGTGTGTGTGTAGTGTGTGTGTGTAGTATGTGTATGAGTGTCTATGGCGCTGTTGACGCGACCGCGTTCCCTCCCCCTCCCCCCGCCCCCTGTGCTGCTCCCCCCACAGCACGATCCGCTGCTGCTTCATGGTGCTCAAGCAGCGTGAGTTCACGCGACCCCGAGGCGACCTTGACTCCGCCACTGACCCTGACCTCACCCTGACCTGACCCTGACCTGACCGGACCCAACCTGGACCTCGACTCTGGCCTCGATCCTGACCCCAACCCTGACCCAACCCCGACCTGGACCCTGACCTGATCCTAACCCTGACCCCACCATGACCCCAACACCAACCCTGACCCGACCCAACCCTGACCCCACCATGACCCCGACCCTGACCCCAACCCGGACCCAGACCTGACCCCAACCCGTCACTCACTGCGCCCCAGTTTCACTCTGTTAGCCCAGGAGTGGGCGTGGTGGGGGTAGTGAAAGGGGGGGCGGGGTGAGGAGGCGTGGTGGGTGGGGTCAGGAGTGGTGGGCGGGGTCATTGTGGATGGGCGGGGTCAGGAGTAGTGGGCGGGCTCAGTGGAGGTATGGTGGAGCAGTAAGGTCAGAGTAATAATAACAATTAACGCTTCCTCGACCTTTATGTTTGTGTCTCAAGAGCTGGAAAGTGTGGGCCAGGAACACACCCAGTTGGCCCTGGAGCTCAACAAGGAGTACAAGAAGATGGAGGACTTCCGCATGAAGCAGAAGGATCGCTTCACCAAGGTGACCAGACCTCTCAAGGTCAAGGCGACCTCGGCCAATCGAGGACAATGGAGGTCAATGTGATTCGAGGTCTGAATTTTTGGGAGTAAACCCTCCGAGTAGCACGGTTGGCTACGTACGTTGCGCAAAAGAGTTCAGCATACGTACATAGAGTGATCTGGGCTATTGAGGTCAGCATGACCTGGATATTAGAAGTTTTTATTTTTATATATTGGGTTGGTGAGCTAGTTGGTGAGTGAGAGAACGAGTCTGCGAGTGAATGGATGAATAATCAGGTGGGTTGCTGAGTGGATGGGTGAGTGGTTGGGTGAATGGATGCGTGATTAATTGAGTGAGTGATCAAGTGGTTTGGTGAGTGAGTGGATGGGTGCTTAAGTCAGTGAGTGGATGAGTGCATGGGTGGTTGAGTGAGTGATCACGTGGGTTGGTGAGTGAGTGGATGAGTGAGTGATCAGGTGGGTTGGTGAGTGTGTGGTTGAGTGAGTGATCAGGTGGGTTGGTGAGTGTGTGGATGAGTGAGTGATCAGGTGGGTTGGTGAGTGTGTGGATGAGTGAGTGATCAGGTGGGTTGGTGAGTGTGTGGTTGAGTGAGTGATCAGGTGGGTTGGTGAGTGTGTGGTTGAGTGAGTGATCAGGTGGGTTGGTGAGTGTGTGGTTGAGTGAGTGATCAGGTGGGTTGGTGAGTGTGTGGTTGAGTGACTAATCAGGTGGGTTGGTGAGTGTGTGGATGAGTGACTGATCAGGTGGGTTGGTGAGTGTGTGGTTGAGTGACTAATCAGGTGGGTTGGTGAGTGTGTGGATGAGTGACTGATCAGGTGGGTTGGTGAGTGTGTGGTTGAGTGACTAATCGGGTGGGTTGGTGAGTGTGTGGATGAGTGAGTGATCAGGTGGGTTGGTGAGTGTGTGGTTGAGTGACTAATCAGGTGGGTTGGTGAGTGTGTGGATGAGTGACTGATCAGGTGGGTTGGTGAGTGTGTGGTTGAGTGACTAATCAGGTGGGTTGGTGAGTGTGTGGATGAGTGACTGATCAGGTGGGTTGGTGAGTGTGTGGTTGAGTGACTAATCAGGTGGGTTGGTGAGTGTGTGGATGAGTGACTGATCAGGTGGGTTGGTGAGTGTGTGGTTGAGTGACTAATCAGGTGGGTTGGTGAGTGTGTGGTTGAGTGACTGATCAGGTGGGCTGGTGAGTGTGTGGTTGAGTGAGTGATCAGGTGGGTTGGTGAGTGTGTGGTTGAGTGAGTGATCAGGTGGGTTGGTGAGTGTGTGGATGAGTGAGTGATCAGGTGGGTTAGTGAGTGTGTGGTTGAGTGAGTGATCAGGTGGGTTGGTGAGTGTGTGGATGAGTAACTGATCAGGTGGGTTGGTGAGTGTGTGGTTGAGTGAGTGATCAGGTGGGTTGGTGAGTGTGTGGTTGAGTGAGTGATCAGGTGGGTTGGTGAGTGTGTGGTTGAGTGAGTGATCAGGTGGGTTGGTGAGTGTGTGGTTGAGTGAGTGATCAGGTGGGTTGGTGAGTGTGTGGTTGAGTGAGTGGTCAGGTGGGTTGGTGAGTGTGTGGATGAGTGAGTGATCAGGTGGGTTGGTGAGTGTGTGGATGAGTGAGTGATCAGGTGGGTTGGTGAGTGTGTGGTTGAGTGAGTGATCAGGTGGGTTGGTGAGTGTGTGGTTGAGTGAGTGATCAGGTGGGTTGGTGAGTGTGTGGTTGAGTGAGTGATCAGGTGGGTTGGTGAGTGTGTGGTTGAGTGACTGATCAGGTGGGTTGGTGAGTATGTGGTTGAGTGACTGATCAGGTGGGTTGGTGAGTGTGTGGTTGAGTGACTGATCAGGTGGGTTGGTGAGTGTGTGGTTGAGTGACTGATCAGGTGGGTTGGTGAGTGTGTGGTTGAGTGACTGATCAGGTGGGTTGGTGAGTGTGTGGTTGAGTGAGTGATCAGGTGGATTGGTGAGTGTGTGGTTGAGTGAGTGATCAGGTGGGTTGGTGAGTGTGTGGTTGAGTGAGTGATCAGGTGGGTTGGTGAGTGTGTGGTTGAGTGAGTGATCAGGTGGGTTGGTGAGTGTGTGGTTGAGTGAGTGATCACGTGGGTTGGTGAGTGTGTGGATGAGTGAGTGATCAGGTGGGTTGGTGAGTGTGTGGATGAGTGAGTGATCAGGTGGGTTGGTGAGTGTGTGGTTGAGTGAGTGATCAGGTGGGTTGGTGAGTGTGTGGTTGAGTGAGTGATCAGGTGGGTTGGTGAGTGTGTGGTTGAGTGAGTGATCAGGTGGGTTGGTGAGTGTGTGGTTGAGTGAGTGATCAGGTGGGTTGGTGAGTGTGTGGTTGAGTGAGTGATCAGGTGGGTTGGTGAGTGTGTGGTTGAGTGAGTGATCAGGTGGGTTGGTGAGTGTGTGGTTGAGTGAGTGATCAGGTGGGTTGGTGAGTGTGTGGATGAGTGAGTGATCAGGTGGGTTGGTGAGTGAGTGGATGAGTGAGTGATCAGGTGGGTTGGTGAGTGTGTGGTTGAGTGAGTGATCACGTGGGTTGGTGAGTGTGTGGTTGAGTGAGTGATCAGGTGGGTTGGTGAGTGTGTGGTTGAGTGAGTGATCAGGTGGGTTGGTGAGTGTGTGGTTGAGTGAGTGATCACGTGGGTTGGTGAGTGTGTGGATGAGTGAGTGATCAGGTGGGTTGGTGAGTGTGTGGATGAGTGAGTGATCAGGTGGGTTGGTGAGTGTGTGGTTGAGTGAGTGATCAGGTGAGTTGGTGAGTGTGTGGTTGAGTGAGTGATCAGGTGGGTTGGTGAGTGTGTGGATTGAGTGAGTGATCACGGTGGGTTGGTGAGTGTGTGGTTGAGTGAGTGATCAGGTGGGTTGGTGAGTGTGTGGTTGAGTGAGTGATCAGGTGGGTTGGTGAGTGTGTGGATGAGTGAGTGATCAGGTGGGTTGGTGAGTGTGTGGATGAGTGAGTGATCAGGTGGGTTGGTGAGTGTGTGGTTGAGTGAGTGATCAGGTGGGTTGGTGAGTGTGTGGTTGAGTGAGTGATCAGGTGGGTTGGTGAGTGTGTGGTTGAGTGAGTGATCAGGTGGGTTGGTGAGTGTGTGGTTGAGTGAGTGATCAGGTGGGTTGGTGAGTGTGTGGTTGAGTGAGTGCATGGGTGGTTGAGTAAATGGGTGAGTGGATGAGCGAGTGAGTGGATGAGCGATTGAGTGAGTGGGTGAGTGAGTGCATGAGTCGTTGAGTGACTGAGTGCATGGGTGGTTGAGTGAGTGGATGAATGAATGAGTGGATGAGTGAGTGAATAAGTGCGTGAATGAGTGAATGGATGAGTGAGGGATTTAGTCAGTGGATGAGTGATTGATTGAGTGGATGAGTAAGTGTATGAGTGAATGAGTGAGTGGATGAGTGAATGAGTGAGTGGATGAGTGAGTGGATGAGTGAATTAGTGAGTGGATGCGTGAGTGAGTGAGTGAGTGGATGCGTGAATGAGTGAGTGGATGAGTGAATGAGTGAGTGGATGAGTGAGTGCATGGGTGGTTGAGTGAGTGGATGAGTGAGTGGATGAGGGAGTGGATGAGTGAGTGGATGAGGGAGTGGATGAGTGAGTGGATGAGTGAATGAGTGAGTGGATGAGTGAGTGCATGGGTAGTTGAGGGAGTGAGTGAGTGGATGAGTGAATGAGTGAGTGGAATGAGTGAATGAGTGAGTGGATGTTTGAGTGGAACGAGTGAATGAGTGAGTGGATGCGTGAGTGGATGCGTGAATGAGTGAGTGGATGAGTGAGTGAATGAGTGAATGAGTGAGTGGATGAGTGAGGGATTTAGTGAATTAGTGAGTGGATGAGTGAATGAGTGAGTGGATGAGCAAGTGAGAGGATGAGTGATTGAGTGAGTGGGTGAGTGAGTGCATGAGTCGTTGAGTTACTGAGTGTATGGGTGGTTGAGTGAGTGGATGAGTGAATGAGTGAGTGGATAATTGAGTGGATGAGTGAGTGCATGGGTGGATGAGTGAGTGAATTGTTGTATATATAGGGCTCATATACAACACAATGAGTGAGTGGATGAGTGAGTGGATGAGTCAATGAGTGAGTGGATGAGTGAGTGCATGGGTGGTTGAGTGAGTGGATGAGTGAACGAGTGAGTGGAAGAGTGAATGAGTGAGTGGATGCGTGAGTGGATGCGTGAATGAGTGAGTGGATGAGTGAGTGAATGAGTGAATGAATGAGTGGATGAGTGAGGGATTTAGTCAGTGGATGAGTGATTGAATGAGCAGATGAGTGAGTGGATGAGCGAGTGAGAGGATGAGTGATTGAGTGAGTGGATGAGTGAGTGGGTGAGTGAGTGCATGAGTCGTTGAGTGACTGAGTGTATGGGTGGTTGAGTGAGTGGATGAGTGAGTGCATGGGTGGATGAGTGAGTGGATGAGTCAATGAGTGAGTGGATGAATGAGTGCATGAGTGGTTGAGTGAGTGGATGAGTGAGTGGATGAGTGAGTGGATAAGTGAGTGGATGAGTGAATGAGTGTGTGGATGAGTGAGTGCATTGGTGGATGAGTGAGTGAATGAGTGAGTGGATGAGTGAGTGGAATGAGTGAATGAGTGAGTGGATGCGTGAATGAGTGAGTGGATGCGTGAATGAGTGAGTGCATGAGTGAGTGGATGACTGAATTACTGAGTGGATGAGTGAATGAGTGAGTGGAGGAATGAGTGGAATGAGTGAGTGAATTAGTGAATGAGTGAGTGGATGAGTGGATGAGTGAGTGAATAAGTGAGTGGATGAGTGAGTGCATGGGTGATTGAGTGAGTGAATGAGTGAATGAGTGAGTGGATGAGTGAATTAGTGAGTGGATGAGTGAATGAGTGAGTGGAATGAGTGAATGAGTGAGTGGATGCTTGAGTGGATGCGTGAATGAGTGAGTGGATGAGTGAGTGAGTAAGTGAGTGGATGAGTAAGTGCATGGGTTGTTGAGTGAGTGGATGAGTGAGTGGATGCGTGAATGAGTGAGTGGATGAGTGAGTGGATGAATCAATGAGTGAGTGGATGAGTGAGTGCATGGGTGGTTGAGTGAGTGGATGAGTGAGTGGATGAGTCAATGAGTGAGTGGATGAGTGAGTGCATGAGTGGTTGAGTGAGTGGATGAGTGAGTGGATAAGTGAGTGGATGAGTGAATGAGTGAGTGGATGAGTGAATGCATGGGTGGATGAGTGAGTGAATGAGTGAATGAGTGAGTGGATGAGTGAGTGCATGAGTGAATGAGTGAGTGGATGATTGAGTGGAATGAGTGAATGAGTGAGTGGATGCGTGAGTGGATGCGTGAGTGAGTGAGTGCATGAGTGAGTGGATGATTGAATTACTGAATGGATGAGTGAATGAGTGAGTGGATGAGTGAGTGCATGGTTGGTTGAGTGAATGAATTAGTGAGTGGATGAGTGAGTGGATGGGTGAATGAGTGAGTGGAGGAGTGAGTGGAATGAGTGAGTGAATTAGTGAATGAGTGAGTGGATGAGTGAGTGGATGAGTGAATGAGTGAGTGGATGAGTGAGTGCATGGGTGATTGAGTGAGTGAATGAGTGAATGAGTGAGTGGATGAGTGAGTGGATGAGTGAATTAGTGAGTGGATGAGTGAGTGGAATGAGTGAGTGGATGCGTGAATGAGTGAATGGATGCGTGAATGAGTAAGTGGATGAGTGAGTGGATGAGTGAATGAGTGAGTGGATGAGTCAATGAGTGAGTGGATGAGTGAGTGCATGGGTAGTTGAGAGAGTGGATGAGTGAGTGGATGCTTGAATGAGTGAGTGGATGAGTGAATGAGTGAGTGGATGAGTGAGTACATGGGTGGATGAGTGAGTGAATGAGTGGATAAGTGAGTGGATGAGTGAGTGGAATGAGTGAATGAGTGAGTGGATGATTGAGTGGAATGAGTGAAATAGTGAGTGGATGAGTCAATGATTGAGTGGATGAGTGAGTGCATGGGTGGTTGAGTGAGTGGATGAGTGAGTGGATGCGTGAATGAGTGGATGAGTGAGTGGATGAGTGAATGAGTGAGTGGATGAGTGAATGAGTGAGTGCATTGGTGGAGGAGTGAGAGAATGAGCGAATCAGTAAGTGGATGCGTGAATGAGTAAGTGAGTGAGTGAGTGGATGAGGTAATGAGTGAGTGGATGAGTGAGTGCATGGGTGGTTCAGTGAGTGGATGATTGAGTGGATGTGTGAATGAGTGGATGAGTGAGTGGATGCGTGAATGAGTGAATGAGTGAATGAATGAGTGAGTGGATGATTGAGTTGATGTGTGAATGAGCGAGTGCATGAGTGAATGATTGAGTGGATGTGTGAATGAGTGAGTGGATGAGTGAGTGAATGAGTGATTGAATGAATGAGTGAGTGAATGAGTGAATGAATGAGTGAGTGGATTAGTGAGTGGATTAGTGAATGATTGAGTGGATTTGTGAATGAGTGAGTGGATGAGTGAGTGAATGAATGAGTGAGTGAATGAATGAATGAGTGACTGGATGAGTGAGTGGATGAATGAGTGAATGAATGAGTGAGTGAATGAGTGAATGAATGAATGAGTGAGTGGATGAGTGAGTGGATGAGTGAGTGGATGAGTGAGTGAATGAATGGGTGAGTGAATGAATGAGTGAGTGAATGAGTGAGTGGATGGGTGATCTACGAAACACAGCAGTGGTGTCCTCCCTCCCTTGGCAATGATCGCCCTGCGCTGGCAGAACGAGCGGAGCTCCTGACCTCCATTTGACCTTCACAGATGGACAATCAGATGAGCAGCCTGCACAAGCAGAAGCAATCCCTGTTGAAGAAACTCAACGATGTGAGCCTTGCCCCCTCCTGTCACGCCACGATCCGATGAACCGGGCGTTCCGCCCCGGGTTTCACGATCTGGGATTTTGTTCCGGGTTTCACGATCCGGGGTTCTACTCTGGGTTCCCGATCCACAGAGACCCATAAACTCACACAGAGACCCATACACTCACACAGAGACCCATAAACTCACACAGAGACCCATACACTCACACAGAGACCCATAGACTCACACAGAGACAAATAGACTCACACAGAGACCCATAGACTCACACAGAGACCCATAGACTCACACAGAGACCCATAGACTCACACAGAGACCCATAGACTCATACAGAGACCCATAGACTCACACAGAGACCCATAGACTCACACAGAGACCCATAGACTGACACAGACCCATACACTCACACAGAGACCCATAGACTCAAACAGAGACTCATAGACTCACACAGCGACCCATAGACTCACACAGGGACCCATAAACTCACACAGAGACCCATAGACTCACACAGAGACCCATAGACTCACACAGAGACAAATAGACTCACACAGAAACCCATAGACTCACACAGAGACCCATAGACTCACACAGAGACCCATAGAGTCATACAGTGACCCATAGACTCACACAGAGACCCATAGACTCATACAGAGACCCATAGACTCACATAGAGACCCATAGACTCACACAGAGACCCATAGACTGACACAGACCCATACACTCACACAGAGACCCATAGACTCAACAGAGACTCATAGACTCACACAGAGACCCATAGCCTCACGCAGAGACCCATAGACTCATGCAGAGACCCATATACTCACACAGAGCCCCAGAGACTCACACAGCGACCGATAGACTCACACAGAGAACCATAGACTCACACAAGGACCCATAGACTCACACAAGGACCCATAGACTCACACAAGGACCCATAGGCACACACAGAGACCCATATACTCACACAGAGACCCATACACTCACACAGAGACCCATATACTCACACAGAGACCCATAGACTCACACAGCGACCCATAGACTCACACAGAGACCCATAGGCTCACACAGAGACCAATAGACTCACATAGAGACCCATCGACTCGCACAGAGACCCATAGATTCACACAGAGACCCATAGACTCACACAGAGACCCATAGACTCACACAGCGACCCATATACTCACACAGAGACACATATACTCGCACAGAGACCCATAGACTCACACAGAAACCCATATACTCACACAGAGACCCATATACTCACACAGACACCCATACACTCACACAGACGCATATACTCACACAGACCCATAGACTCACACAGAGACCCATAGACTCACACAGTGCCCCATAGACTCACACAGAGACCCACAGACTCACACAGAGACCCATAGACTCACACAGAGACCCATTGACTCACACAGAGACCCATAGACTCACACAGAAACCCATAGAATCACACAAAGACCCATAGATTCACACAGAGAACCATAGACTCACACAGAGAACCATATACTCACACATAGACCCATAGACTAACACAGAGACCCATAGACTCACACAGTGCCCCATAGACTCACACAGAGACCCACAGACTCATACAGAGACCCATAGACTCACACAGAGGCCCATAGACTCAAACAGAGACCCATAGACTCACACAGAAACCCATAGAATCAGAGAGAGACCCATAGACTCACACAGAAATCCATATACTCACACAGAGACCCATAGGCTCTCACAGAGACACATAGACTCTCACAGAGACCCATAGACTCACACAGAGACCCATTGACTCACACAGAGACCCATAGACTCACAAAGAGACCCATAGACTCACACAGAGTCACATGTACTCGCACAGAGACCTATAGACTCACACAGCGACCTATATACTCACACAGAGACGCATATACTCACACAGAGACGCATATACTCACACAGAGACCCATAGACTCGCACAGAGAACCATATACTCACACAAAGACCCATATACTCACACAGAGACCCATATACTCACACAGAGATGCATATACTCACACAGAGACCCATAGACTCACACAGTGACCCATATACTCACACATAGACCCATATACTAACACAGAGACCCATAGATGCACAGAGTGACCCATATACTCACACAGCGACTATCGATTCAAACAGAGACAAATAGACTGACAGAGACCCATAGACTCACACAGAGACCCATATACTCACACAGCGACCCATAGACTCACAAAAAGACCCATAGACTCACTCAGAGTCCCATATACTCACACAGTGACCCATATACTCACACACAGACCCATAGACTCACACAGAGACCCATTGAAGCACACAGTGACCCATATACTCACACAGCGAACATAGATTCAAACAGAGACCCATAGACTCACATAGAGACCCATAGACTCACACAGCGACCCGTAGACTCACACAGAGACCCATAGACTCACACAGAGACCATATGCTCACACAGAGACTCATAGACTCACACAGAGACGCATAGACTCACACAGAGACCCATATACTCACACAGAGATGCATATACTCACACAGCGACCCATAGACTCACACAGAGACCCATATACTCACACAGAGACGCATATACTCACACAGAGGCCCATATACTCACACAGAGACCCATAGACTCACACAGAGACCCATAGACTCACACAGAGACCCATACACTCAGGCAGAGACCCATATACGCACGCAGAGACCCATAAAGTCATAAAGAGACGCATAGACTCACAAAGAGACCTATAGACTCACACAGAGACCCATGGACTCATAGACAGACCCATAGACTCACACAGAGACCCATAGACTCACAAAGAGACGCATATACTCACACAGAGACCCATATACTCACACAGAGACCTATAGACTCATAGACAGACCCATAGACTCACACAGAGACCCATAGACTCACACAGAGACGCATATACTCATACAGAGACCCATAGACTCACACAGAGACCCATATACTCACACAGAGACCCATATACTCACACAGAGACCCATATACTCACGCAGAGACGCATATACTCATACAGAGACCCATAGACTCACACAGAGACCCATGGACTCACACAGAGACCCATCGACTCGCACAGAGAACCATAGACTCACACAGAGACACATATACTCACACAGACACCCATAGACTAACACAGACACCCATATACTCACACAGAGACCCATATACTCACACAGAGACCCATATACTCACACAGACGCATGTACTCACACAGACTCATAGACTCACACAGAAACCCATATACTCAGGCAGAGAACCATATACTCACACATAGACCCATAGACTTACACAGAGACCCATAGACCCACACAGTGCCCCATAGACTCACACAGAGACCCACAGACTCACACAGAGACCCATAGACTCACACAGAGACCCATAGACACACACAGAGACCCATAGACTCACACAGAGACCCATATGCTCACACAGAGACCCATATACTCACACAGAGACCCATAGACTCACACAGAGACCCATAGGCTCACACAGAGACCCATAGACTCACATAGAGACCCATCGACTCGCACAGAGACCCATAGATTCACACAGAGACCCATAGACTCACACAGAGACCCATAGACTCACACAGCGACCCATATACTCACACAGAGACACATATACTCACACAGAGACCCATAGACTCACACAGACACCCATATACTCACACAGAGACCCATATACTCACACAGAGACCCATATACTCACACAGACACCCATACACTCACACAGACGCATATACTCACACAGACCCATAGACTCACACAGAGACCCATAGACTCACACAGTGCCCCATAGACTCACACAGAGACCCACAGACTCATACAGAGACCCATAGACTCACACAGAGGCCCATAGACTCAAACAGAGACCCATAGACTCACACAGAAACCCATATAATCAGAGAGAGACACATAGACTCACACAGAAATCCATATACTCACACAGAGACCAATAGGCTCACACAGAGACACATCGACTCTCACAGAGACCCATAGACTCACACAGAGACCCATTGACTCACACAGAGACCCATAGACTCACAAAGAGACCCATAGACTCACACAGAGACACATATACTCGCACAGAGACCTATAGACTCACACAGCGACCTATATACTCACACAGAGACGCATATACTCACACAGAGACGCATATACTCACACAGAGACCCATAGACTCGCACAGAGACCCATAGACTCACACAGAGACCCATATACTCACACAGCGACCCATAGACTCACAAAAAGACCCATAGACTCACTCAGAGTCCCATATACTCACACAGTGACGCATATACTCACACACAGACCCATAGACTCACACAGAGACCCATTGAAGCACACAGTGACCCATATACTCACACAGCGAACATAGATTCAAACAGAGACCCATAGACTCACATAGAGACCCATAGACTCACACAGCCACCCGTAGACTCACACAGAGACCCATAGACTCACACAGAGACCATATGCTCACACAGAGACTCATAGACTCACACAGAGACGCATAGACTCACACAGAGACCCATATACTCACACAGAGATGCATATACTCACACAGAGACCCATAGACTCACACAGCGACCCATAGACTCACACAGAGACCCATATACTCAGGCAGAGACCCATATACTCACACAGAGACCCATATACTCACACAGCGACCCATAGACTCACACAGAGACCCATATACTCACACAGAGATGCATATACTTACACAGCGACCCATAGACTCACACAGAGACCCATATACTCACACAGAGACCCATAGACTCACACAGAGGCCCATAGACTCACACAGAGACCCATACACTCAGGCAGAGACCCATATACGCACGCAGAGACCCATAAAGTCATAAAGAGACGCATAGACTCACAAAGAGACCTATAGACTCACACAGAGACCCATGGACTCATAGACAGACCCATAGACTCACACAGAGACCCATATACTCACGCAGAGACGCATATACTCACACAGAGACCCATAGACTCACACAGAGACCCATGGACTCACACAGAGACCCATCGACTCGCACAGAGAACCATAGACTCACACAGAGACACATATACTCACACAGACACCCATAGACTAACACAGACACCCATATACTCACACAGAGACCCATATACTCACACAGAGACCCATATACTCACACAGACGCATATACTCACACAGACTCATAGACTCACACAGAAACCCATATACTCAGGCAGAGAACCATATACTCACACATAGACCCATAGACTTACACAGAGACCCATAGACCCACACAGTGCCCCATAGACTCACACAGAGACCCACAGACTCACACAGAGACCCATAGACTCACACAGAGACCCATAGACACACACAGAGACCCATAGACTCACACAGAGACCCATATGCTCACACAGAGACCCATATACTCACACAGAGACCCATATACTCACACAGAGACCCATATACTCACACAGAGACCCATAGACTCACACAGCGACCCATAGACTCACACAGAGACCCATAGACTCACACAGAGACCCATAGACTCACATAGAGACCCATCGACTCGCACAGAGACCCATAGATTCACACAGAGACCCATAGACTCACACAGAGACCCATAGACTCACACAGCGACCCATATACTCACACAGAGACACATATACTCGCACAGAGACCCATAGACTCACACAGACACCCATATACTCACACAGAGACCCATATACTCACACAGAGACCCATATACTCACACAGACACCCATACACTCACACAGACGCATATACTCACACAGACCCATAGACTCACACAGAGACCCCATAGACTCACACAGTGCCCCATAGACTCACACAGAGACCCACAGACTCACACAGAGACCCATAGACTCACACAGAGACCCATTGACTCACACAGAGACCCATAGACTCACACAGAAACCCATAGAATCACACAAAGACCCATAGACTCACACAGTGCCCCATAGACTCACACAGAGACCCACAGACTCATACAGAGACCCATAGACTCACACAGAGGCCCATAGACTCAAACAAAGACCCATAGACTCACACAGAAACCCATAGAATCAGAGATAGACCCATAGACTCACACAGAAACCCATATACTCACACAGAGACCCATAGGCTCACACAGAGACCCATAGACTCTCACAGAGACCCATAGACTCACACAGAGACCCATTGACTCACACAGAGACCCATAGACTCACAAAGAGACCCATAGACTCACACAGAGACACATATACTCGCACAGAGACCTATAGACTCACACAGCGACCTATATACTCACACAGAGACGCATATACTCACACAGAGACGCATATGCTCACACAGAGACCCATAGACTCGCACAGAGAACCATATACTCACACAAAGACCCATATACTCACACAGAGACCCATATACTCACACAGAGATGCATATACTCACACAGAGACCCATAGACTCACACAGTGACCCATATACTCACACACAGACCCATAGACTAACACAGAGACCCATAGATGCACAGAGTGACCCATATACTCACACAGCGACTATCGATTCAAACAGAGACCCATAGACTGACAGAGACCCATAGACTCACACAGAGACCCATATACTCACACAGCGACCCATAGACTCACAAAGAGACCCATAGACTCACTCAGAGTCCCATATACTCACACAGTGACCCATATACTCACACACAGACCCATAGACTCACACAGAGACCCATTGAAGCACACAGTGAACCATATACTCACACAGCGAACATAGATTCAAACAGAGACCCATAGACCACATAGAGACCCATAGACTCACACAGCGACCCGTAGACTCACACAGAGACCCATAGACTCACACAGAGACCATATGCTCACACAGAGACTCATAGACTCACACAGAGACCCATAGACTCACACAGAGACCCATATACTCACACAGAGATGCATATACTCACACAGAGACCCATAGACTCACACAGCGACCCATAGACTCACACAGAGACCCATATACTCAGGCAGAGACCCATATACTCACACAGAGATGCATATACTCACACAGAGACCCATAGACTCACACAGCGACCCATAGACTCACACAGAGACCCATATACTCACACAGCGACCCATAGACTCACACAGAGACCCATATACTCACACAGAGACGCATATACTCACACAGAGACCCATATACTCACACAGAGACCCATAGACTCACACAGAGACCCATAGACTCACACAGAGACCCATACACTCAGGCAGAGACACATATATGCACGCAGAGACCCATAAAGTCATAAAGAGACCCATAGACTCACAAAGAGACCTATAGACTCACACAGAGACCCATAGACTCACACAGCGACCCATAGACTCACAAAGAGACGCATATACTCACACAGAGACCCATATACTCACATAGAGACCCATAGACTCACACAGAGACCCCTATACTCACACAAAGACCCATATACTCACACAGAGACCCATATACTCACACAGAGACCCATAGACTCACACAGAGACCCATAGACTCATAGACAGACCCATAGACACACACAGAGACCCATATACTCACACAGAGACCCATATACTCACACAGAGACCCATAGACTCACACAGAGACCCATAGACTCATAAACAGACCCATAGACTCATAAAGAGACCCATAGACTCACAAAGAGACGCATATACTCACACAGAGACCCATATACTCACATAGAAACCCATATACTCACACAGCGACCCATAGACTCACACAGAGACCCATAGACTCACACAGCGACCCATAGACTCACACAGCGACCCATAGACTCGCAAAGAGACCTATATACTCACACAGAGACCCATATACTCACACAGAGACCCATAGACTCACACAGAGACGCATATACTCACACAGAGACCCATAGACTCACACAGTGACCCATAGAATCACACAGAGACCCATAGACTCACACAGCGACCCATAGACTCACACAGAGACCCATTGACTCAGGCAGAGACCCATATACGCACGCAGAGACCCATAGACTCATGAAGAGACCCATAGACTCACAAAGAGACCTATAGACTCACACAGAGTCCCATAGACTCACATAGCGACCCATAGACTCACAAAGAGATGCATATACTCACTCAGAGACCCATATACTTACATAGAGACCTATAGACTCACACAGAGACCCATATACTCACACAGAGACCCATATACTCACACAGAGACCCATATACTCACACAGAGACCCATAGACTCACACAGAGACCCATAGACTCATAGACAGACCCATAGACTCATATAGAGACCCATAGACTCACAAAGAGACGCATATACTCACACAGGGACCCATATACTCACATAGAGACCCATATACTCACACAGAGACCCATAGACTCACACAGCGACCCATAGACTCACACAGAGACCCATAGACTCACACAGAGACCCATAGACTCACACAGCGACCCATAGACTCGCAAAGAGACCTATATACTCACACAGAGACCCATATACTCACACAGAGACCCATATACTCACACAGAGACGCATATACTCACATAGAGACCCATAGACTCACACAGCGACCCATAGAATCACACAGAGACCCATAGACTCACACAGCGACCCATAGACTCGCACAGAGACCCATAGACTCACACAGAGACACATAGACTCACACAGCGACCCATATACTCACACAGAGAAGCATATACTCACACAGAGACGCATATACTCACACCGAGACCCATAGACTCACACAGACACCCATATACTCACACAGAGACCCATATACTCACACAGAGACCCATATACTCACACAGACGCATATACTCACACAGACCCATAGACTCACACAGAGACCCATATACTCAGGCAGAGAACCATATACTCACACATAGACCCATAGACTCACACAGAGACCCATAGACTCACACAGTGCCCCATAGACTCACACAGAGACCCATAGACTCACACAGAGAACCATATACTCACACATAGACCCATAGACTCACACAGAGACCCATAGACTCACACAGAGACACATAGACTCACACAGATACCCACAGACTCACACAGAGACCCATAGACTCACACAGAGACCCACAGACTCACACAGAGACACATAGACTTACTCAGAGACCCATAGACTCACGCAGAGACCCATAGACTCACACAGAGACGCATATACTCACACAGAGACCCTTGAATTCCCCACTTTATTTAAAGCCCGATTCTTTCTTATACGCCCCCACTTCTTAATTAAAGAAAGCTCCAAACAATTGTTAAAGAAGGCTACCACTTCTTAATTAAAGAAATCTCCAACAAATTGTTAAAGAAGGCTCCCACTTCTTAATTAAAGAAAGCTCCAACCAATTGTTAAAGAAGGCTACCACTTTTGATTTAAAGCTTTCGTGACTGCAGTAATTCATATTCTTAGTTCTTTCGGTAAAGTCACATTGAAGGGAAACAACAAAATAATAAAATATATATAAAACAATAAAAATTCTCACGACGTTTCGACCATAACACAAACGGTCACACACCTGAAGACGACCGTTTGTGTTATGGTCGAAACGTCGTGAGAATTTTTATTGTTTTATATATTATTATTTTGTTGTTTCCCTTCAACGTGACTTTACCGAAAGAATTAAGAATAAGGCTACATCTTCTTAATTAAAGAAACCTCCAACCAATTGTTAAAGAAGGCTCCCACTTCTTAGTTAAAGAAGGCTCCAACCACCGTTGCCATCGTCACCACCACCACCACCATAATCACCCCGACCGTCGCCACCATCATTCACCTGAACGACTGCATCATTTCATCAATTGGTTCCCCGGCCTTCTCTTCCAGTCCAAGAGGTCGCAGGAGGTCAAGTGCCGCGACCTGCTGGAGGCGGAGTGCAACCGCGACCGCTTGGCCAACAACCTCAACGCCAAGCTCGTCGAAAAGGTCGGTCGCTCGGTCGGTCACTCGGTCGGTCGCTCAGTCAGTCGCTCAGTCAGTCAGTCAGTTGCTCAGTCAGTTGCTCAGTCAGTCAGTTGCTCAGCCAGTCGCTCGGTCAGTCGTTCAGTTGGTCACTTGGTCGTTCGGTCGCTCGCTCAGTCAGTCGCTCAGTCAGTCAGTCGGTCGCTCAGTCAGTTGCTCAGTTAGTCGCTCAGTCAGTCGTTCAGTCGGTCGGTCGCTCGGTCGCTCGCTCGGTCAGTGGCTCAGTCAGTCAGTCAGTCGCTCAGTCAGTCAGTCGGTCGCTCATTCAGTCGCTCAGTCGTTCGGTCGGTCGGTCACTCGGTCGCTCGCTCAGTCAGTCGCTCAGTCAGTCGGTCGCTCAGTCAGTCATTCAGTCGGTCGGTCACTCGGTCGCTCGGTCGCTCGGTCAGGCAATGAGTCGGTCAGTCAGTTTGTCGCTTGGTCAGGCAATGAGTCGGTCAGTCAGTTTGTCGCTCAGTCAGGCAATGAGTCGGTCAGTCAGTTTGTCGCTCGGTCAGTCAATGAGTCGGTCAGTCAGTTTGTCACTTGGTCATTCGGTCACTCGCTCGGTCGCTCGGTCGCTCGGTCGACCGCCTCCTCCGCATAGCTCTTCTCTCGCTACCACCGTGGGAGTCCGTCGTTGGGGCCGTCCATGGTGCAGGGCTGTGGCCAGACTGCGCCAGACGCCGGCTACCGGACATCTATAATGGAGGTGTCTTTGTTGTGGGTTAGATAGTGTCAATATAAATGCATCGTTAAACCCGCCACCGACACCAAAGACAAAGATCCCCCGTATAGCCTGTAACAGACTGTCGGGGCAAGTGCTGTTAGCGAGTAGCAAGCTATGAAGGCCGGCACGGAACACGAGGGGGTGAGTGGCCCGCACCACGCCCGACCGTCTTTGTCTCCCCAGTGGCGATGTTTACACACCGCACCAGGTACTCAATTGGGGCTGAGTCGACCTAGGAGAGGAGACCCAGGACCGGTTCAGAAACTCGTCACCGGTGTTGGTGGACGTGAGCGGGAATCAAACTCGGGTCGCCGGGTTCGTAGTGCAGCGTAGCGCTAACCGCTGCACCACCGATCCCCTGGATCATACACACACACGCACGCATGCACGCACACACGCGCACACAACAACAACAACTGCCATTCGCCACTAAGTGGTAGTGACGTCACCACGACACTTGTGCCCCCTACTGTGCCAACTTTCTGTGTTTTAGCCACCCGGCGCTCCGCTCGTTGTTGTGAGCGTCGCTCCTCCCCCCTCCATTGTTGTTGGAGGGCGACTGCCTCCAACTGCCCAGTAGCGTCCTTCACGAGCCTCCTCCACAGAGGCCGATCTTGACACCGCTGGTACCAGTCATCGGCAAGTCCACTCAGCTCCACGTCCTCCTGTACCACATCACTCCATCTCTTCTCTAGCCCGTGCCGCGCCCGTTTAGCCCCCTCGATCCAGCCGAACAAAACCTGTTTGGGCATGCGGGGGCTGGGCATGCGGGCTACATGACCCAGCCAACGCAGCCTTGCCTGCCGGAGGAGCTCACCGATGGGACTTTGTCCAGATCTTTCAAGGATTTGTGAGCTTCTCACATGATTCAGCCTGGTTAAACCCAGAATGGATCGTAGGCAGGCCAGCCTAAATGTTTATCACTGGCCAAGATGTTCCATTAGGGGGGGTTCACGTTTCTCAAGCATAGAGAATGGAGGGAATGCCTGTGGCCGAGAAGACCCGAAGTTTCGTGCGGAGCAACAGATCAGGTAGCTTCAACACAGCATTACGCAACCGATGAAAAGATAATGCCGCTCGACTTATTTGGAGTGAGACCTCTGCTGTTAAACCGGAGCCGGTCATGAGCACACTGCCCTGGTATGGGAAACTCTCCACTCTCTCCACAATTGGGAGTTGTGGGGGTGGAGTGTCCGATGGCACAAAATACCCAGGCAGGTGCTTAGTTTTGGTGGTCTCAGACCCCAGATCGCCTTTAGTACTTCCTCAACAGATGGCACCTCAGCCAGCCACTCACAGGGGGTGACTTCTTCAAATATTTGAGGCACCGCAGCCTCAGCAGGGTCATCCTCACTTTGTGCCATGATGTTTTCCATTTCGTGGGATTTTCCCTACCCCAGGACTTCACAGAAATGCTCAGCAAATCTGCAAACCTGTTCCTGGGAGTTGGAGATTGGATCACCGCTTTTTCCCCTAATGATGGTAATAGGTGTGGCGCTGCAGGTTACTTTTTTAATGGAGTTAAAGAGCGATTTGTGATCGCGGGCCATTGAGGCAGACTCCATCTCCTCAGCAACCCGCGACCACCACCGATCCTTGCAGCGCCTCACGGCTCTCCGAATTTCCGAGCGAATGCTGCGGTAAGCCTACTCATTCTCTGACGTGGGATGCTGTAGACGATTAGAGTGGGCCTGTCGTTTTTTCTCAACCATCTTGAACACCTCCTCTGTCAGCCAGGGTCTCTGCGGAGGTCTGGAACACATATCAAAGCAGCCATTGCAGCTGCATGAGTCACAGTCCTAAACCTCGCCCATTTACCCTCGACATCAGGAGGAGTGGGGAACGATGCCAACCCCAGCCGCAAGCGATGATGAAATTCTCGCTTGCAACTTCCATCAGCTAGCTGAGACCAGGCCACCTTAGGTTGGAATGGGGTCGTGGGTGTACACCCACCACCGGAGTGGAAGAATGGCAGGCACATCTTACAGATGACAAGTCGATGGTCAGAGGGCAGATCAGCTCCACGGTAGGTCCTGGTGTCAAGGACATAGGCCCACATCCGCTGTTCCGTCACCATGTAGTCCAGCAGATGTTCTTGCTTGGACCCGGCATGCATCCATGATGTTGTGTGGATGCGCCGATGCCGGAACAACGTGTTGGTAATTACAAGCCCATGGGCTGCACAATAATCTAGCAGCCTTCTACCGTTGTTATTGAGCTGATCTGGCCCATGCCCTCCAATCACTCCAGACCAGGTGCCAGCATCATGACCCACTCGGGCATTGAAGTCACCCAACAAGATGACTCTATCCCGAGGGGCCACTTTAGCCAGCACCTGTGACAGGAGGTTATAGAAGGCATCTGACTCATTGGCTTTGCCTGCATCCCTCCACAGATGTTCGTCTTCGGTGGGGGCATAAGTAACCACGACCACCACTCCTCGCCTCCTATTGATGGGAAGGCGAGCCCAAAGTAGCCCGGGGCTTACAGCTTCCCACACCTCACCACCACGCTCCCAAGCCCCCTTCATTATTTTGTTCAATAGTAGAGCCACTCCCTGTTGTTTGGCAGTCTCCTGCCCCGAGTAGAGGACTGTCCACCCCTCATGGTGGCAGGAGCCAGAACCGATCCACCGGACCTCCTGAATACCACAGAGATCCAGGCGGTACCGGTCCAGCTCCCAACGCACACGCACACGCAAACACACACGCACACACACACGTACACACATGCACACACACACATGCACACACACACATGCACACACACACATGCACACACACACACACGCACACACACACACACGCACACACACACGCACACGCACACACACACACATACGTACACACACACACACAGCAGTAAGTAACATCGCACCCCTACTGCAACAACTGGGCAGTAACCTCTTTAAAAATCGGTCGCGAGACACGGTGAGGTTTTTCTTTGTAAATAGGCGCAATGATTAAAACGATCATCATACGTGTACCTTTTACAATGTCATTAAATCAACCAGTAGTATACATTCGTGTTGTGTGAAGCCACTTGATTCATCAGAAGAGGCCTTGCGAATCGCTTCAAAGAGACTCGTGCCAAGTTGCAGTCTCGCGCAGTCGCGGGAACGCCGGACGGTTGGATTGTTGGTGGCCGCTGGGCGCGTGTTGGCGACCCTAGGGAGTACAGCACAACGCAAACTCTGGCAGCGTGACGCGGGCACACAATGGCCCACTCTTGCCAATGTTCGTCACGGGATTTTCTCAGCAAAGAGCGACAAGGCTCGGCGGGGCCGCTTGACCATTTTTAAATAAATCAAAATGTAGTGAAATAAAAAATGAATTCGTGACAATTTTCAATTGAATTTTTTTTAATGAAAATTAAATTAGAAAGTGAGATCAATGAATGAAATGAATGAGATGAAAATGAATAAAAATGTAATAATAATTTCGTAATAACCCGTGTTCCATCTGTGACTCGTGTTCCACCTGTGACTCGTGTTCCACCTGTGACTCGTGTTCCATCTGTGACTCGTGTTCCATCTGTGACTCGTGTTCCACCTGTGACTCGTGTTCCACCTGTGACTCGTGTCCTACCTGTGACTCGTGTTCCACCTGTGACTCGTGTCCTACCTGTGACTCGTGTTCCACCTGTGACTCGTGTTCCACCTGTGACTCGTGTTCCACCTGTGACTCGTGTTCCACCTGTGACTCGTGTTCCATCTGTGACTCGTGTTCCACCTGTGACTCGTGTTCCACCTGTGACTCGTGTTCCATCTGTGACTCGTGTTCCATCTGTGACTCGTGTTCCACCTGTGACTCGTGTTCCATCTGTGACTCGTGTTCCATCTGTGACTCGTGTTCCACCTGTGACTCGTGTTCCACCTGTGACTCGTGTTCCACCTGTGACTCGTGTTCCACCTGTGACTCGTGTTCTATCTGTGACTCGTGTTCCATCTGTGACTCGTGTTCCACCTGTGACTCGTGTCCTACCTGTGACTCGTGTTCCACATGTGACTCCTGTTCCACCTGTGACTCGTGATCCATCTGTGACTCGTGTTCCATCTGTGACTCGTGTTCCATCTGTGACTCGTGTTCCACCTGTGACTCGTGTCCTACCTGTGACTCGTGTTCCATCTGTGACTCGTGTTCCACATGTGACTCCTGTTCCACCTGTGACTCGTGATCCATCTGTGACTCGTGTTCCATCTGTGACTCGTGTTCCACATCTGACTCGTGTTCCACATCTGACTCGTGTTCCATCTGTGACTCGTGTTCCACCTGTGACTCGTGTTCCACCTGTGACTCGTGTTCCACCTGTGACTCGTGTTCCACCTGTGACTCGTGTTCGACCTGTGACTCGTGTTCCACCTGTGACTCGTGTTCCATCTGTGACTCGTATTCCATCTGTGACTCGTGTTCCACCTGTGACTCGTGTTCTACCTGTGACTCGTGTTCCATCTGTGACTCGTGTTCCACCTGTGACTCGTGTTCCACCTGTGACTCGTGTTCCATCTGTGACTCGTGTCCTACCTGTGACTCGTGTTCCATCTGTGACTCGTGTTCCATCTGTGACTCGTGTTCCATCTGTGACTCGTGTTCCACATCTGACTCGTTTTCCACCTGTGACTCGTGTTCCATCTGTGACTCGTGTTCCACCTGTGACTCGTGTTCCACCTGTGACTCGTGTTCGACCTGTGACTCGTGTTCCACCTGTGACTCGTGTTCCATCTGTGACTCGTATTCCATCTGTGACTCGTGTCCCATCTGTGACTCGTGTTCCACCTGTGACTCGTGTTCTACCTGTGACTCGTGTTCCATCTGTGACTCGTGTTCCACCTGTGACTCGTGTTCCACCTGTGACTCGTGTTCCACCTTTGACTCGTGTTCCACCTGTGACTCGTGTTCCATCTGTGACTCGTGTCCTACCTGTGACTCGTGTTCCATCTGTGACTCGTGTTCCATCTGTGACTCGTGTTCCATCTGTGACTCGTGTTCCACCTGTGACTCGTGTTTCACCTGTGACTCGTGTTCCACCTGTGACTCGTGTTCCACCTGTGACTCGTGTTCCACCTGTGACTCGTGTTCCACCTGTGACTCGTGTTCCACCTGTGACTCGTGTTCTACCTGTGACTCGTGTTCCATCTGTGACTCGTGTTCCATCTCTGACTCGTGTTCCACCTGTGACTCGTGTTCCATCTTTGACTCGTGTTCCACCTGTGACTCGTGTTCCACCTTTGACTCGTGTTCCACCTGTGACTCATGCCCTACCTGTTACTCGTGTTCCATCTGTGACTCGTGTTCCATCTGTGACTCGTGTTTCACCTGTGACTCGTGTTCCATCCGTGACTCGTGTCCTACCTGTGACTCGTGTTCCATCTGTGACTCGTGGTCCATCTGAGACTCGTGTTCCATCTGTGACTCGTGTTCCATCTGTGACTCGTGTTTCACCTGTGACTCGTGTTCCATCCGTGACTCGTGTCCTACCTGTGACTCGTGTTCCATCTGTGACTCGTGTTCCACCTGTGACTCGTGTTCCACCTGTGACTCGTGTTCCATCTGTGACTCGTGTTCCACCTGTGACTCGTGTTCCATCTGTGACTCGTGTTCCATCTGTGACTCGTGTTCCATCTATGACTCGTGTTCCACCTGTGACTCGTGTTCCACCTGTGACTCGTGTTCCACCTGTGACTCGTGTTCCATCTGTGACTCGTGTTCCACCTGTGACTCGTGTTCCATCTATGACTCGTGTTCCACCTGTGACTCGTGTTCCACCTGTGACTCGTGTTCCACCTGTGACTCGTGTTCCATCTGTGACTCGTGTTCCATCTGTGACTCGTGTTCCATCTATGACTCGTGTTCCACCTGTGACTCGTGTTCCATCTGTGACTCGTGGTCCACCTGTGACTCGTGTTCCACCTGTGACTCGTGTTCCATCTGTGACTCGTGGTCCACCTGTGACTCGTGTTCCACCTCTGCCCGCAGAGCAAGCAGCGGGTGGACAATTGCTACCAGGCGCTGATGGACGCCGGTAAGAGTCGCCCGTGCACTCTGGCCACCGTGCTTGCATTATTGTTGTGAGTGTTGGTGAGTGTTTGTATGTGTGTGTGAACGTGTGTGTGTGATTGTGTGGGGAGCGGTAGTGTAGCGGTTAGCGCGCTGCGCTATGAACCTGGCGAACCGGGTTTGATTCCCGCTCACGGCCAACACCAGTGACGATTATCTGAACCGGTCCCGGGCTTCCCCTAGGTCGACTCAGCCTCAAATGAGTACCTGGTGCGGTGTGTAAACATTGCCACTAGGGAGACAAAGGCGGTCGGGCGTGGTGGCCACCCACCCCCTCGTGTACCGTTCCGGCCTTCAAAGGTGCTCGCTAACAGCACTTGCCCCTACAGTCTGTTAAGGCTATATGGGGATCTTTGTCTTTGTTGTGTGAATATAGGGTGCACAGGTGGGGCATCGGCCAGCCATCTCATTCAGTCGACCGATGGTACCTATGTCTGTCCCGTAACCTCCTGCCTGCGGGCGTTCGACACTTCACTTGGCGTTCACGTGCACATAGCCTGGCACAAGCGCCGTGGTGACGTCACCGCCACTTATTGGCGAATGGCGGTAGTTGTTGTTGTGGTGTAGTTCAGGGGTCAGCGCTACGCAGCGCTACGAACCGGCTACCCAAGTTTTCTTCCCGCTCACGGCCAACACCGGTGACGATTATCTAAACCGGTCCTGGGACTCCCCTAAGTCGACTCAGCCTCAAATGAGTACCTGGTGCGGTGTGTAAACATTGACACCAGGGAGACAAAGGCGGCCGGGCATAGTGCTGGCCACCCATCCCCTCGTGAGCCGTGCCGGCCTTCGTCGGTGCTACTCGCCAACAGAACTTGCCCCAACAGTCTGTTAAGGCTACACGGGAGGTCTCTTTGTCTTTGTTGTGTACATGTGCCTGATTTAAACATTCAGTTGTAGCTTAGTGCTCGGCGTTCCTAGAAACCTGCTCGTAGGTTTACCGGAAAATACGAGGAGCAAGGCCGTAGGATTACCCGGGCAAGCACGTCTGGGCGACGGTGGCCCAGCGCTGCACGTGCGTGGACATGGTAGGGTGGTCACCGGACGTTCACAGCCAGGACGTTTCTGGACGAACCTTCTCTTTCACGTCCCCCTCGTACGGCACGGCGGCTGGGGAAGTGTCGCGTCCCCTTTGCTCTGCGGTGATCCGGAGCGTCACTGGAAGAAGAAAAAGAAGAAGGGGGGGGGGGGAGGAGGGGGGGAGGAGGAGGCAGGGGAGGAAAGGGGGAGGAGTTTTAAGAATAATTATAAAAATAAAAGATCATGACGCAGGAAGACGTGAGAGTAAAGTATCTAGAAGGTTTTTTAGGGTGAGATCGCGTGACTATAAATGTGTCGTTAAACCCGCCACCAGCCGACACAGCCAACTAATTAGGTGTTTGTCACGTGAATAAAACACGACCTACACACTCTGGTGTTGAACGCCCATCTAGCCACACTATGGCAGAACTAGACAAAGTTCACTCTCCCGGCCCGGACCACGAGCTGGGTCCCGGACCACGTGGCTAGAGGCTTCTTCTCCCCGACGTGGATCTTCTTCACACCAGCACACGAAGAACCTCGAGCTCCTCACGGGGCCCTCGTTATATCCCCCTGGGCTGGGGCTGGGGCTGGCTCCGCCCCTCGCCCCGCCCACCTTCCAGGTCTCTCTGGCCCCTTCCCGAAGGCTCCCGAGAGCTCCTTTGGACCACGTGACCGCCCAGCGGCCCCCGTCCACCGGTGGCCCCCCTCCAATATCGTCCGGTCACGTGACGGCAGGTGAACCGGCGGCGTATCACGCCCCAAGGTAACCCTGGCTGGCTGTCGCTCCCTCTAGCGGGAGTCCGCACCGCTCACGGTGCCTCCGCGCTGACCGCAGCATTGGGATGTGGTTTTCCCGACACGAGCTCCGCCGTGCGTGGCGCCACTTCGTCGGTGCGACGGAAGCCGGGGGAGGTGAATCCCTGTGCAGAACAGCGTGGGAACGGATGAGACGTTGAACAACTCCACCCAAGAAGGCATCTCAGAGGTAGCTCTGTGAGGTCCACTTCCGTGGCTCTGTTCCCCAGCACGAAGGGCGGGCGGGGATTGAGGGTCGCGGGATCTCTCGGAGACTTCCAAACGGATTCTTCACCGCTCTCGGGGAGAGAGAGAAAAATGAATAGGCGCTATTTATTTATTTACTTTAAATTTCCTTCAGCCGAATCCAGGGAAGGGTGTACGTCCCACCAACCCCGTCCACCACACCGACCGCAACCGTCGCCGGCCAAGTGCGGTCAAATCGACTCCCGCCGGTGCCACTCGGCTCGGTGTGCGGAGGCCTTCATCCAGCAGTGGATTGACGAAGGGCCGACACGGAGAGCAGCGGGTCCAGACGCCCCGGCTCCTAGCCAGAAGAAGCGAACCCACGCCATGCCCCTCGGTCGCACGCGGAGGTTTTGTTTTTAATGTTTGTACATTTCTCTTAGCAGGTAAGGCCCCACTGAGCTTTATGCAGATTGTCTTTTTTTCAGAAGCGACCTGGCTACCACAAATGGTAGCTTAACGAAGCGGCTTATCATCAACATCCTCGTTATCACGTGGACATTTATAGTAGCAGCCAAATAACGCGCGCGATGTTGATTCTAAATGTGAAGGGAAAAACCGGAGGACCCGGAGAAAAATCCACGCGGCCACGAGGAGAGAGAGACACCGCAGACTCCAAATATACAGCAGCAGGCGTCAGGGTAGGGATCGAACCCACGACCTCCTGTGTACCAGGCGAGGCAGTTAACATCTCCTAGCCACCGGGGCGGGAGCATAAGGGGTTGTCAATTTTTTTTTCCTTTTGCGGTTTTATTATTTTTTATTTTCCAACGATTCTCTCGCTGCGAGCGAGCGAGAGAGAGGAGAGAGAGAGGGGAGAGAGAGGGGGGAGAGAGGGGAGAGAGAGAGAGGGGTGAGAGAGGGCAGAGAGGGGGGAGAGAGAGAGGGGTGAGAGAGGGCAGAGAGGGGAGAGAGAGAGAGGGGAGAGAGAGGGCAGAGAGGGGGGAGAGAGAGAGAGGGGTGAGAGAGAGAGAGAGGGGTGAGAGAGAGAGAGGGGAGAGAGAGAGAGGGGGGAGAGAGAGAGAGGGGGAGAGAGAGAGAGGGGAGAGAGAGAGAGATAACTTGCCGTGCCTGCTGGCTCCGCAGTCACAGCGCGAGTTCATCACGAACCGGGAACTTCCCCCAGGCCCGGCTGGAAATGCACGTGGCAGTGATCCTTCGCGGTCGGAGTCACGAGGCGGTGAGAGGGGAAGTGGGCCACAGATCGTGATTATTATCATCGTCGTCGTCGTCGTCGTGATGATGGTGATATCTCCTCTCATCATTCGTGTTGTTGAGTTCTCTGTCTTGCCGGGGTGGTGTTCACTTCGCCTTCGTTCGTGCGGAGTCGCAGAGTGAGGCTACGCCGCTGACCGGCTGGATGGCGGGCAGCAGACACAACCGTGTTGGTCGTGCTGGTGATGGTGGTGGTGCTGGTGATGGTGCTGGTGATGGTGCTGGTGGTGGTGCTAGTGGTGTTGGTGTGTGTTGGTGGTGCTGGTGGTGGTGGTGGTGGTGCTGGTGGTGGTGCTAGTGGTGTTGTTGTGTGTTGGTGGTGCTAGTGGTGGTGGTGGTGCTGGTGGTGCTGGTGGTGGTGCTGGTGGTGGTGGTGGTGTTGGTGGTGGTGGTGCTGGTGGTGGTGGTGCTAGTGGTGTTGGTGTGTGTTGGTGGTGCTGGTGGTGGTGGTGGTGCTGGTGGTGGTGCTAGTGGTGTTGGTGTGTGTTGGTGGTGCTAGTGGTGGTGGTGCTGGTGGTGGTGGTGGTGCTGGTGGTGGTGGTGCTGGTGCTGGTGGTGGTGGTGCTGGTGGTGGTGGTGCTGGTGCTGGTGGTGCTGCTGGTGGTGCTGGTGGTGGTGTTCCGCAAGTGGTGGCATCAGCGAGCACCTATGATGGTCGGCACGGCATTCGAAGGCGTGGGTGGCCAGCACGACGCCCGGCCGCCTTTGTCTCCCCCTAGAGGCGAAGTTTACACACCGCATCAGGTATTAATTTGGGGCTGAGTCGACCTAGGAGAGGCCCAGGGCCGGTTCAGATAATCGTCACCGGTGTTGGCCGTGAGCGGCAATGGAACTCGGGTCCGCTGGCCCACCGCTCCCATCACGTTGAATCACCACCACCACCACCACAGCCGCAGCAGCAGCAACAGCAGCAGCGTTCCCCAGGGCGGCCGGCCGGATTCGAACCGCGAACCTCCACGGCAAATCTGAAAACAACGCTCGCTGCAGGGTGGAGGGGGGGGGGGGGGGGTAGGGGGCGGGGGTCCCACCCTAGGGGTCTCACCCTAGGGGGTCTCACCCTAGGGGGTCTCACCCTAGGGGTCCCACCCTAGGGGTCCCACCCTAGGGGGTCACACCCTAGGGGTCCCACCCTAGGGGTCTCACCCTAGGGGTCCCACCCTAGGGGTCCCACCCTAGGGGGCTCCACCCTAGGGGGTCACACCTTAGGGGTCTCACCCTAGGGGTCCCACCCTAGGGGGTCCCACCCTAGGGGTCCCACCCTAGGGGTCTCACCCTAGGGGGTCTCACCCTAGGGGGTCTCACCCTAGGGGTCCCACCCTAGGGGGTCACACCCTAGGGGTCCCACCCTAGGGGTCTCACCCTAGGGGTCCCACCCTAGGGGTCCCACCCTAGGGGGCTCCACCCTAGGGGGTCACACCTTAGGGGTCTCACCCTAGGGGTCCCACCCTAGGGGGTCCCACCCTAGGGGTCCCACCCTAGGGGTCTCACCCTAGGGGGTCTCACCCTAGGGGGTCTCACCCTAGGGGTCCCACCCTAGGGGTCCCACCCTAGGGGGTCACACCCTAGGGGTACCACCCTAGGGGTCTCACCCTAGGGGTCCCACCCTAGGGGTCCCACCCTAGGGGGCTCCACCCTAGGGGGTCACACCTTAGGGGTCTCACCCTAGGGGTCCCACCCTAGGGGGTCCCACCCTAGGGGTCCCACCCTAGGGGTCTCACCCTAGGGGGTCTCACCCTAGGGGGTCTCACCCTAGGGGTCCCACCCTAGGGGTCCCACCCTAGGGGGTCACACCCTAGGGGTCCCACCCTAGGGGTCTCACCCTAGGGGTCCCACCCTAGGGGTCCCACCCTAGGGGGCTCCACCCTAGGGGGTCACACCTTAGGGGTCTCACCCTAGGGGTCCCACCCTAGGGGGTCCCACCCTAGGGGTCCCACCCTAGGGGCCCCACCCTAGGGGTCCCACCCTAGGGGCCCCACCCTAGGGGTCCCACCCTAGGGGTCCAACCCTAGGGGTCCCCGTACTGACGAGACTCCGCTTTGCTGAGCCGTCAGTTTCCATTGCCGCGTCGCTCCCCACCACCAATCAGTGAAGGCTGCTGTGGCTCTGCCTGCTGGATGGTTCTGTGACGTCTTTGTTGATTGTTTAGCTGCCACTGCTGTCGTGTTGCTGCTCGGTTGTGTTGGTTGCTGTGACCTTGTGACCCCGTGCCACTACTACTGGACATCTGTGGGAAAAGGAGCTTTATAGCTCATCGGATTCCTCCTGATTCTGATCCTGACTGCTGAGATTCACTCCTCTATCCCCCGTGCCCCCCCCGTGCCCCCCCCTGTGCCCCCCCGTGCCCCCCGTTGCCCCCCCCCTGTGCCCCCCCGTGCCCCCCACAGACGTAGCCTACAAGCAGAACGTGGAGCTCATTGAGAGGACGCGGATCGAGTGGGAGACGGTCCACGGGCGAGCCACCGAGGTCAGCGCCGTGCCCCCCCCCCCCCGTGCCCCCCCCTGTGCACCCCCGTGCCCCCCCTGTGCCCCCCGTGCCCCCCCGTGCCCCCCCGTGCCCCCCCCGTGCCCCCCCCTGTGCACCCCCGTGCCCCCCCCGTGCCCCCCCCTGTGCACCCCCGTGCCCCCCCCGGTGCCCCCCCCCATCGCCCGCTGTCATCGTTGTACCGCACTCTTCTATGGCACCCTCCTCGGGCCCGCTCCCCCGGCCTCGAGCGGGCTCACTGAACGTTCGTGCTCACCACTGGGAGACACGGTGGCTAGGAGATGTTGACTACCTCGCCTGGTACACAGGAGGTCGTGGGTTCCATCCCAACCCTTACACCACGGTGGCTAGGAGATGTTGACTACCTCGCCTGGTACACAGGAGGTCGTGGGTTCCATCCCAACCCTTACACCACGGTGGCTAGGAGATGTTAACTACCTCGCCTGGTATACAGGAGGTCGTGGGTTCCATCCCAACCCTTACACCACGGTGGCTAGGAGATGTTGACTACCTCGCCTGGTATACAGGAGGTCGTGGGTTCCATCCCATCCCTTACACCACGGTGGCTAGGAGATGTTGACTACCTCGCCTGGTATACAGGAGGTCGTGGGTTCCATCGCGACCCTGACGCCTGCTGCTGCTGTATATTTGGAGTCTGCGTCTCTCCCCGTGGTCGCGAGGATTTGTTGTCAGTCTCCTCCGGGTTTTCCTTCCATAATCGCAATTAATTTCCACATGATGGTGGTGGTGATGATGATGATGAGCCAACTTCGTAGAGATATCCTTTGTGATAGCCTGGTACCACGTAGCTTCTGGCAAAAAAGAGCTACACAGACAGCTCAGTGGGGTCTAATACCTGGTAAAATAAAATAATAAACAGATTAGTCCAATCCCACTCCGCACTGACCGGCGTGGTGAAGTATGGTCAAATACCGCTTCCCGCCCCCCCCCCCCCCCCCCACGGCGTGGGGGAGAGATCATCATCATCATCATCCAGCAGTGGATTGACAAAACAGGGGCTGCACGTTTACATTTGAACTGCCCTGGGTGGGCCGCCGAGGCCAAACACGGCGCTGTGGTAGCTGTCGTTGCGTTCGCCATGAGAGTGTCGACCTGCAACGCTGCGCTGATGAGCACAGCGGCGATCCACGATTGCCCGAGCCCCTGCGGACCGGTGCGTCCGTACGTTGGACTTCTGTCGCCCCACCGTGCGTGGTCAACCGCGCGGTGGGGTCGGGGGGCGAACAACAAACCGAACAGAAAAATCGGTTCGAAAGCAGCGAGTTTGTCAACCTGGATGACGATTTTAAAGTGCCACAGCTCCCAGTGGCTTCCTCATACCGGAAGGGAAGAGCGTTCCGGACGGCCGCAGAATCAGCGCGTCTGAACGTGGCTGCGCGACGATTCGCCGCCCGCGATTCTTCGTTGGCACGCCCTCGATATATGAAGGGCGTTATCGGCCCCATGAGCGAGTTGTTTACACGTGTGGGAGACACCCCGAGCCCCTGCGTGCGAGGAGGAAACGCTCGATCCCCACCAAACGTCGCCCCTACGTCGGCCCAACCCTGGCATGCCGTTTGAACCGTTGGCCCCAACGTCGCCCCAACGTCGGCCCAACGTCGTATCGACGTCGGCCCAACGTCGGGCGGACGTTGTGCGCTGGGTGAGTGCGGTGGGCGTGCTGACGACGCGTTCCGACCCGCGTGGCAGCTGTACGAGCAGCTGGAGTGGGAGCGCTTGAACTACGCCCGGAACGCCATGTGGGTGCACTGCAACCACCTCTCACAGCAGTGCGTCAAGGACGACCAGGTGGGGCCAACGCTCACCCACACTCACCGCGCTCACCCACACTCACCACGCTCACCCACACTCACCACGCTCACCACGCTCACCACGCTCACTCACACTCACCACGCTCACCCACACTCACCACACTCACCACGCTCACCACACTCACCACGCTCACCCACACTCACCACGCTCACCCACACTCACCACACTCACCACGCTCACCACACTCACCACGCTCACCCACACTCACCACGCTCACCCACACTCACCACGCTCACCACGCTCACCACGCTCACTCACACTCACCACGCTCACCCACACTCACCACACTCACCACGCTCACCACACTCACCACGCTCACCCACACTCACCACGCTCACCCACACTCACCACACTCACCACGCTCACCACACTCACCACGCTCACCCACACTCACCACACTCACCACGCTCACCACGCTCACCACGCTCACCCTCTCTCACCACGCTCACCACCCTCACCCTCCCTTACCACGCTCACCACGCTCACCACACTCACCACACTCACCACACTCACTCACACTCACCACACTCACCCACACTCACTCACACTCACCACACTCACCACGCTCACCCACACTCACCACACTCACCCTCTCTCACCACACTCACCACACTCACTCACACTCACCACACTCACCCACACTCACTCACACTCACCACACTCACCACGCTCACCCACACTCACCACACTCACCCTCTCTCACCACGCTCACCACCCTCACCACGCTCACCACCCTCACCCTCTCTCACCACCCTCACCACACTCACCCTCTCTCACCACGCTCACCACCCTCACCACGCTCAACACTCTCACCACGCTCACCCACACACACCCACACTCACCACGCTCACCCACTCACCACGCTCACCACACTCACCACTCTCACCACACTCACCCTCCCTCACCCACACTCACCACGCTCACCACACTCACCACACTCACCACACTCACCACGCTCACCACCCTCACCACGCTCAACACACTCACCACGCCACCCACACTCACCCACACTCACCACGCTCACCACGCTCACCACCCTCACCCACACTCACCACACTCACCACACTCACCCTCTTTCACCACCCTCACCCACACTCACCACACTCACCACACTCACCCTCTCTCACCACACTCACCACACTCACCCTCTCTCACCACGTTCACCACGCTCACCACACTCACCACACTCACCCTCTCTCACCACGCTCACCACCCTCACCACGCTCACCACCCTCACCCTCTCTCACCACCCTCACCACACTCACCCTCTCTCACCACGCTCACCACCCTCACCACGCTCAACACTCTCACCACGCTCACCCACACTCACCCACACTCACCACGCTCACCCACACTCACCACGCTCACCACACTCACCACTCTCACCACACTCACCCTCCCTCACCCACACTCACCACGCTCACCACACTCACCACACTCACCACACTCACCACGCTCACCACCCTCACCACGCTCAACACACTCACCACGCCACCCACACTCACCCACACTCACCACGCTCACCACGCTCACCACCCTCACCCACACTCACCACACTCACCACACTCACCCTCTCTCACCACGCTCACCACACTCACCACGCTCACCACCCTCACCCTCTCTCACCACCCTCACCACACTCACCCTCTCTCACCACGCTCACCACCCTCACCACCCTCAACACCCTCACCACGCTCACCCACACTCACCCACACTCACCACGCTCACCCATACTCACCACGCTCACCACACTCACCACTCTCACCACACTCACCCTCCCTCACCCACACTCACCACGCTCACCACACTCACCACACTCACCACACTCACCACGCTCACCACCCTCACCACGCTCAACACACTCACCACGCTCACCCACACTCACCCACACTCACCACGCTCACCACGCTCACCACCCTCACCCACACTCACCACACTCACCACACTCACCCTCTTTCACCACGCTCACCACCCTCACCCTCTCTCACCACACTCACCACACTCCCCCGCTCTCACCACGCTCACCACGCTCACCACACTCACCACACTCACCCTCTCTCACCACCCTCACCACACTCACCACGCTCACCACACTCACCACACTCACCACGCTCACCACGCTCACCCTCCCTCACCAAGCTCACCACCCTCACCACGCTCACCCTCCCTCACCCACGCTCACCCTCCCTCACTCTCTCTCACCACACTCACCACGCTCACCACACTCACCCTCTCTCACCACGCTCACCCTCGCCACAATCACTCATGGTCGTGGTTGATGTAGCTGTGACTGTGGTTGTCGTTGTATTGGTGGTGGTTGTTGTTGTTTATACAAGTGATGTGTTTGTTGTGGTCATCGTGGTTGTTGTGGTTGTTGTGGTTGTTGTGGTTGTTGTAGCTGTGGTGGTTGTTGTTGGGGTGGTTGTGGTGATTCTTGTGGTTGTTGTGGTTGTTGTGGTTGTTGTAGCTGTGGTGGTTGTTGTGGTTGTTGTGGTTGTGGTGATTCTTGTGGTTGTTGTGGTTGTAGGCGTACGAAGAAGTGCGGCTGTCTCTGGAGAAGAGCGACGTTCAGGATGACATCAACTGCTTCGTGAAGAACAAGCAGACTGGGGAGCGCAGGCCAGGTACGACCACGGGGAGATGGAGCGTTCACTCTGATCCACGTCTGTCAATCTCCTCCTTCAGGCACAAGGGGAGACGGAGCGTTCACTCCGATCCACGTCTGTCAATCTCCTCCTTCAGGCACAAGGGGAGACGGAGCGTTCACTCCGATCCACGTCTGTCAATCTCCTCCTTCAGACACACGAGGAGACGGAGCGTTCACTCTGATCCACGTCTGTCAATCTCCTCCTTCAGACACACGAGGAGACGGAGCGTTCACTCCGATCCACGTCTGTCAATCTCCTCCTTCAGACACACGAGGAGACGGAGCGTTCACTCCGATCCACGTCTGTCAATCTCCTCCTTCAGACACAAGAGGAGACGGAGCGTTCACTCTGATCCACGTCTGTCAATCTCCTCCTTCAGGCACAAGGGGAGACGGAGTGTTCACTCTGATCCACGTCTGACAATCTCCTCCTTCAGACACACGGGGAGACAGAGCGTTCACTCTGATCCACGTCTACCAATCTCCTCCTTACGACCCACGCGGAGATGGAGCGTTCACTCCGATCCACGTCTGTCAATCTCCTCCTTCAGACACAAGGGGAGACGGAGCGTTCACTCTGATCCACGTCTGACAATCTCCTCCTTCAGGCACAAGGGGAGACGGAGCGTTCACTCTGATCCACGTCTGTCAATCTCCTCCTTACGACCCACGCGGAGACGGAGCGTTCACTCTGATCCACGTCTGTCAATCTCCTCCTCACGACCCAAGGGGAGACGGAGCGTTCACTCCGATCCACGTCTACCAATCTCCTCCTTCAGGCACCATGGGAGACGGAGCGTTCACTCTGATCCACGTCTGTCAATCTCCTCCTGTCGACCCACGCGGAGACGGAGCGTTCACTCCGATCCACGTCTGTCAATCTCCTCCTTCAGGCACAAGGGGAGACGGAGCGTTCACTCCGATCCACGTCTGTCAATCTCCTCCTTACGACCCAAAGGGAGACGGAGCGTTCACTCCGATCTGTATCAGCAAAGTCGTCGATTGGGCAGGTTGCACGTGGCAGTGGGGTAAAGTGTGGGCACTCCATCCCTTCGGAAGCCTGCTGGCCAGCATGGAAGAGTAGGCCAAACACCCTCTCAGCTGCGTCATTTTCAACATCTATCCCCAGCAGCAGCAGCAGCGTATTTACAGCACTGCCCTCTGCTGCCCCCACCATAGCTGATTAAATGCTGCAGCTGATGATGCTGCTTCTGATAGTCGTGGTGTTGATGTCTGTCTGTATGTTTAACTTCTTTCACACCGTACGTAGCCAACCGTGCTAATCGGAGGTGCAGGGGGAAGGACAACAAGCTAAACACTAAAAGCAGCTCTACAGAAATGAGTTCGTCAATCGAGATGATGATTTAAACGTGGACAGCTCTCAGTGGATCCCTAACATCCCTGTCAACCCCTTATCAGTGCCTACCTGATTACAGACCAAATCAGACCTTATTGGTCACCCCGTGCCCCTATAAATCTCAACATCATCCCACAAAGTCCCATCACGAGGGAGAAACACGAACATTTAGACATTTGCTTGCCCGTATTGAGCCCGTTGCACGCCGTATGGACCTGAAAACTCAATTTCCCTGTACAATAATACGGGGTAATCCGTGTGCGTTAACAGCTATGTCCGAATATCGGAAGGAAGAGCATTCCAGACGGCCGCAGAAGCGCATCTGAAAGCGCCGCGCGATGATGCGGGGACCCCGTCTTTGTTGGATGTCTGAGCCAAAAGCCGCTGCTGCTGCAATGACGACCAGAGTCCACGTGGTGGCTCATGCACCTTGGCTCCTTGTGCCACATCAGCGAGGTGTTGTGGTTCATTGGTGGCAAGTGCTTGGTGTGTAATGAGTACGACCCTGTACTGTAGTCGGTCCTGATATCAGCAGCAGCTTCACAACTCGCAGCTGAACTAAAAACTTAACTATTTTTTATTTATTTTGCCAGGTAAGGCCCACTGAGCTGTATAGCCCTTTGCCAGCAGCCACCTGGCCACGAATGATAGCTCCACGAAGTGGCTCATCATGTGGAAATGTACAGCAGCCGAATACTCTCAACGCATGATTATAAATGGGGGAGGGTTAAAATCGGAGAACCCGGAAACAAAAATCCACAAGGAGAACACGCAAACTCCAAACACGCAGGCATCAGTGTCGGGATCGAACCCACAACCTCCCGTGTAGCCAGGCGAGGTAGTTAACATCTCCTAGCGAGACGTGTACACAGTTGCTCGTACAAAATTCAGTCCCAGCACCATCATCAGCATCAACATCAGCAGCAGCGTGAAGGTGTTCACGTTTAACACCTTCACGCAAGGGTCACTAAAAAGATCTCCAAAATCCTGAATAAACACAAGATCCAGGTCCGATTCAACACAGTACATAAAATCCGTGATCTGGTTCCATCTGTAAAAGATGCTGTTCCAGACATACAGTACCCGGGCGTTCACAAACTAAAGTGCCTCTGTGGTAGTAGCTACATTGGAGAAACCAAACGACATATCTCGGACCGTATCCACGAACATAAAACAGACTTGAAACACGGTAGAACGAACTCCTCCGCCGTGGCAGATCACTGTTATAATTCAGTGGGCTCACATGACATTGACTTCTCCAAGACGGAGGTTCTTTGCAAACCAACCGGCTACCATGAGAGATTCGTTCATGAGGCCATTCACATATACAAGCACAGAGACAATTTCAACCGAGAAGATGGATTCTGGCTTAGTAACCATTGGAAAGATGTTTTAAACCATTTCGGTTCTTAATTAATTGTATTTTACGTTGACCTTCAGACCGCAGCTCTTTCGTTGGCGTTACCTCTTAATACCTCTCACACCACGGTTAATGGTATGGTTTATAACATGGAGTATAACAGCGCGTCGCAGCTGTCTCTCTCCCCCTCCTCCGTTCCGAGCATGGATGGACTCGTCCGTCTGAACGGGGCTCGTCGCTGTCCGTGGTGCTGGCGTTGAGGGGAAGAAACCGCCACCCATTTTTTCGCCATATGGCATTGTAATGTATAACGGCTTATTGTTGGTGGCTCAGCTGATTGAAGAGTATATAGAGTTTAATGATGTAGTTTATATTCTTCACGTTCTGCAGATGTAGATGCCACTGGTCTTCACGTTCTGCAGATGTAGATGTCACTGGTTCTTCATGTTCTGCAGATGTAGATGCCACTGGTTCTTCAGGTTCTGCAGATGTAGATGGCACTGGTTCTTCACGTTCTGCAAATGTAAATGTCACTGGTTCTTCACGTTCTGCAGATGTAGATGTCACTGGTTCTACACGTTCTGCAGATATAGATGCCACTGGTTGTTCATGTTCTGTAGATGTAGATGCCACTGATTCTTCATGTTCTGCAGATGTAGATGCCACTGGTTCGTCATGTTCTGCAGATGTAGATGCTACTGGTTCTTCACGATCTGCAGATGTAGATGCCACTGGTTCTTCACGTTCTGCAAATGTAGATGTCAATGGTTCTTCACGTTCTGCAGATGTAGATGTCACTGGTTATTCATGTTCTGCAGATGTAGATGCCACTGGTTCTTCACGTTCTGCAGATGTAGATGCCACTGGTCTTCACGTTCTGCAAATGTAGATGCCACTGGTTCTTCATGTTCTGCAGATGTAGATGTCACTGGTTCTTCATGTTCTGCAGATGTAGATGCCACTGGTCTTCACATTCTGCAAATGTAGATGTCACTGGTTCTTCACGTTCTGCAGATGTAGATGTCACTGGTTCTTCATGTTCTGCAGATGTAGATGCCACTGGTTCTTCAGGTTCTGCAGATGTAGATGGCACTGGTTCTTCACGTTCTGCAAATGTAAATGTCACTGGTTCTTCACGTTCTGCAGATGTAGATGTCACTGGTTCTACACGTTCTGCAGATATAGATGCCACTGGTTGTTCATGTTCTGTAGATGTAGATGCCACTGATTCTTCATGTTCTGCAGATGTAGATGCCACTGGTTCGTCATGTTCTGCAGATGTAGATGCTACTGGTTCTTCACGATCTGCAGATGTAGATGCCACTGGTTCTTCACGTTCTGCAAATGTAGATGTCAATGGTTCTTCACGTTCTGCAGATGTAGATGTCACTGGTTATTCATGTTCTGCAGATGTAGATGCCACTGGTTCTTCACGTTCTGCAGATGTAGATGCCACTGGTCTTCACGTTCTGCAAATGTAGATGCCACTGGTTCTTCATGTTCTGCAGATGTAGATGTCACTGGTTCTTCATGTTCTGCAGATGTAGATGCCACTGGTCTTCACATTCTGCAAATGTAGATGTCACTGGTTCTTCACGTTCTGCAGATGTAGATGTCACTGGTTCTTCATGTTCTGCAGATGTAGATGCCACTGGTTCTTCACGTTCTGCAGATGTAGATGGCACTGGTTCTTCACGTTCTGCAAATGTAAATGTCACTGGTTCTTCACGTTCTGCAGATGTAGATGTCACTGGTTCTACACGTTCTGCAGATATAGATGCCACTGGTTGTTCATGTTCTGTAGATGTAGATGCCACTGATTCTTCATGTTCTGCAGATGTAGATGCCACTGGTTCGTCATGTTCTGCAGATGTAGATGCTACTGGTTCTTCACGATCTGCAGATGTAGATGCCACTGGTTCTTCACGTTCTGCAAATGTAGATGTCAATGGTTCTTCACGTTCTGCAGATGTAGATGTCACTGGTTATTCATGTTCTGCAGATGTAGATGCCACTGGTTCTTCACGTTCTGCAGATGTAGATGCCACTGGTCTTCACGTTCTGCAAATGTAGATGCCACTGGTTCTTCATGTTCTGCAGATGTAGATGTCACTGGTTCTTCATGTTCTGCAGATGTAGATGCCACTGGTCTTCACATTCTGCAAATGTAGATGTCACTGGTTCTTCACGTTCTGCAGATGTAGATGTCACTGGTTCTTCATGTTCTGCAGATGTAGATGCCACTGGTTCTTCAGGTTCT